CCTGTCGGTCGCGCGACAGTCAAAACGGGCAAATCCTTCAGTTGACGAACAGCGCCATCCGTGCTAACTTCACAAATTGATTTTGACAAGTAACTTGCGCAATAACACGAAAACCTTGACGTTTAAGAAATATTCACTTCTTGCAATTACAGTCTCTTTAATAGAGCAGAAATATTCAAATATCCGAATTCCATCCCGACAACGGAGTATCCTAAATGACGACTAACATTACCAAATATATTTTAACGACATAAGAGACTCTTGCGTAAAATGCGTAAAATAAAAACGATGCTTGCAGACAGTTTCGTTTCCCAAACGTTAATTCCACGAGGTTCAACTTGCATGTTTTGATTCTGTTCCAATCACAGATTCCATTGTTGCCATCGTGCCTCAAAATACAGACTGCTCAGTCCAAGCTTTTTGTTCCACGATATGTATTCTTGGAGCACCAGAGACCGACAAATTGCCTGTCTGGTTAGTGACGCGGAGCGGTCCATAAACAGAATACTCTATGTTCAATCATATGTTTATATTTTTCTCGAGTTTACTAGCAACGGTATTCATGCTGTGCGCGTTCCGGACCACGTGCACAATAAGCAAAAAGTTCAAGCCATTCCGGACGACCGGTCAACATGCCCCGCGCTTAAATTTTTCCTTTATGGATGATCACCAGCCTTGGTGATTCTTGAAAAACACAATTCATTCAATCATTTGGTAATTATTGTCGCTAGCGACTCCCCTCCTCCCGTGGGTTAAAATTCCCCCGCGGGGTTATTTTGTCGCTAGAGCAGAAAGTTTGATTAGTTTTTTGCTGTCAATGCCATCGTCACGTAAAGGCCGGAGGCTGGTCAGAATATCTTGATCGAATTGTATCAAGAAGTGATTCGCTTGCATAAATAATCCCCACGCTGAGGGCGTACCTCTAATCCTGCAATTCAAATAAGAAAGCATCCCAGCATTATTTAGGTTCCTTTGCAGAGGCATCATACCTTTAAACACCGTTACAATGTTTCCATAAACTGAGAATTAAAATTCTTTAATAGTGAGCAATTAAGATGACAGACCTTCCGCGCCCCCCCCCCCAGGCAGCGGAATTCCACACTAAAGTCCTGCGCCCAGGATACGGCTCTCCTAATCCGTGTAGTCTACAAGTTACCCATAGCGCCATGAATGATTTGGAGCCAGAGCTCCCTCCCAAGACTGCTCGACCAAAGTTCCTTCTTTCAGGAGGGCGGGCGTGGACAGTAATGGATCACAGGACAGCGCTTATATTGGCGCGAGGCTCCGAAAAGGTATCAGGCTATAGTGTTAAGGCTCACTCGCGCAGCCATAAATTCAGGGAGTCTATAATAAACACCCGCGCAAAACACAGGCGCGCACTGCAAGCGGCTGTTCTCCAGAGTCATGAACAATTTATTGGATGTCACTAAGCTGGATTGCCGAAAGCTTGCTTGATTTGACCGAAGTGTCAAGTCAGAGGAGAGTTCCATCAAAGCTGGAAAATGGATTATCTGCATTTCCAGTAGCTGTGGAAAGTGGATGGGTACATCTAGCAAGTCGAGATATGCATGTAGGTTATCTCTGGGAGGCCTGCGGTGGCTCATTAATAGCACGTTGTCAGACAGAATATTCATAACTGTCGTTAAACCCTGCCATTCGCCGACCACCATCTATTACCCCCATTGCGAATGCTTCATGTTTATTTCATGATTGACAAGGATCCTCGTAGAATCGACGGTGCCACGTGAGAAACTCTGATAACAGGCGAATCAGAGCTTCAGAAGTAGGTCAATTGTCAAATTCGGCTTGTCTTGATTTCAGTAAATTAGCCCCCGCACATCGCTTTTCTTGTTGTCAATTTGCCACATCGTCTGGTCAGAATCAGGTATTGAATGTGATCATTTCATTCCAACTCAGCAGAAACAGAAAGGGAAGAGTCCTGTTTTGCCTTTGAGAACGGGGACTAACAAAACTGGTAGGCCTAAATGTTGGCCCACGGCGTCCGGTAACTGTAGGTGGTGCGTACGTGCGATTTCAGAAAGACGTCCCAGAACACCGACATTTCAGACAGCACTGTTGTTTTGCCCCAAAGGAACATTCATTTCACGTGTCGAATTCGGCCCATTATGTCGCAATTTATTGCTTAATTTACCGCAAGGTGACAATTTGGCCTCCGGTTTATTCCCATCTGGGGATTCGCAATTGGTCCGTTGTCTGCGTGAGGACCGTACCGTCTGATTTTGCACAAAATTTGACGGTCGTCCAACTTTGTCGAGCCTCCCATGGCACGTAGGCACACAGTGCTGCTCAGGTTTGTCACGACTTAGCCAAAAGGCAACCACCTGTATACCTTCCAAACAGCCTAACTATTTTTTTATGGCAGATCACACAAAATATTTTTTTGTTTTTCTGTATTTCATCCACGTGTCGCTGAAAGAGCCATTTTTATTGTACAATAAAAAAGCTTCGCTGCATTATTATTTAAGCTCTTCCGGCTTTTTTCTCTGTTATCAGGCAGCACAAATACGGTAATAACCGTAATTGCATAAAATGACCAGTGTAAGAAAATTCTTATGACCACGAATAAAGAACAAATGGTACACAATTAGGCTTGTTGCTGCTCTATGGCTGGGCTAAACTTCTCAAGGAAGGCCCTCTAAATCTTTTAAATTCCACAAAGTAATTGGGGCTAATTGAAGGGCAACAACCTGAGAAGGTAATAACAAGAGGCCACCATCGCCGGAATTTGTCCCTTTGGGGTCATAGACGTATTGCAGCTACTCGCTGCCGGCATGACCCGTCCTCCGAAATAAAATGAGCTAGCGGGTGATGTCGATGATGCAGCTACAGTCGGCACAAGGCGCTGTTCATCGATTATTTCATCCCATTCCGCATCACTGGAGACCTATAAGAGCGCTCTCAGTGCGGAACCCGGGCGAAGTGACAAAATGAAACAGGAACACTCTGCTCCCGTTGCCACGGTGATGTGGGGCAGGCTCTGGGCGAACTATCCATTTCCTCAAGTAAAAGGCCGGTGAAGCAGCAATTTTTGACCGAAGGAAGACAAAATCCTCACTGATTGTTGTTATTCATCTCTCGATTGAGAGAGTGCTAGGTGACTGGAAATTATAAAGGCATCAGGTTCCACACATTTTCGATATTAAGAAATAACGGCTCATTGGTATCCATATCTCGAGGAAGAAACCCCACAATATAAGAGGTGAATGTAACCAGAGGTGTATGCCTTTGTCTCCACTTCAGTTATTGTTGATCTGAAAGTAAGGCTTGAACTTCTATAAAACAGCGTCAGCCATTCATGTCCATGTTCATTACAATGACGCTGAAGGAGCTACATCAATAATCATGGTGTAGCGCTTCCTGCACAATAAAACGTACATGCCCGCTTTACAATCACTGATGAATAAAATCCCCAGTTCTGTCCACTTGTGAATGTCAAAACGAATCTAATGCAATGCACACAAAATGAATAATAAAATCTACATGTATTGACTTTGCATCAAGGCTTAACAATAACGATTTGAAGTATAAGCCATAACCGCTATATAAGTAATGGCGTTTCTCAACATCGGAGACGGATAGCTTCATTCCCTCGACATCGCTGACTATGAAGCTCCGAGGAAAGTGTCGATTTATCCCGGGGGGTACTTAAAACTGCACCCAATAAAATCTCTAGGCAATTTTCTATTGCATCCTCCGTGACCAGGGGCCAGTGTTTTGAGCTTTACCGACCCAATCCTTGTTGGAATTTTATCCTCCGCAACCTCTCTCCCCACTCAATAAGAGAGAAACCGTATCCTTGTAAACTGACAAAAGCGAAGGGGAAATTTCAATTAGATTACCTGGCATTTGCCCGTCCGTGTAACTCAGTCCGCGCATTAAGGGCCTTCTGCTGCTAAATATCCGATGAAAAAGGAGCTGGGGAGAGATGTACGAAAAATGTCGACGCCCTACTTTTCAGCAGATGGAGATCTTTTTCAAAAACAGCAAAAGGCTGAAAGGAAAAATTAGTACCGTACAACATTGGTTAATCACCTAACTGTAAAATGAACGCTTGAACGTTTTTTGGGGGGCTCTCATAAACCATGCCCCTGATGACATGACCAACAAGTTAATCGGTCGACGTGAGAAACTCTGTCATGAGGACTCAGAAGGGTTGGCATCACGCGAGGTTGTTATTGCTTCAATCACGCATTGCATTCTTTGCCAGCAAGGATTAAGACATCTTACGAGAGCTAAGTGTAATCGCCTTTAGCCAGTAGAAGTCTTAGATTTATCCAAATTAATCTCCATCGTGTTGTCAAACTCTCCTCATCTCAAGCACAGATCTCAAGGTGATTTGCATCTAAAAATAGTGTTCATGGATAATTCACAGTACGTGTCATTTGGTGAGTATTGAGCAGCTGGCAATACACACATCCATTAGTGCGTTATGAAACTCACCGGCTCGGGTGCGTTTCAAGTCATCCTGACAGATAAACATTTTAAAATGCATCATGTCACACAAGTCTAAGTTCATAAAATGAAACTTCTCTATTGTTGATTTTCAATAAAATACATTGTACGTGACAATAAGAAATAAAGTATGACAGAGTTTTTGACAATTATTCCTAACAGAAAGGCTCTATCGTTGAGCCGTATAACAATTCCCTTTCGTAGACAGCAAGATTCCACAACAAAGGTACAATATTTCGTGACTTATCTATCATCTGATGACGGCACACATCTCACATTCCCCATCTTTCTCTTCAGATCGGAATGAGATACTTTACAGGGTTGAAGAGGTCGTTATTCTGTGCATGTGTCCCTCCGTTTCATTTTCAGAATAGAGCTCGCTTAAGCCATGCACCCTAGGTCCTTGCTAATACTTTAATCTGATCAAGTGCATTCCTGCAATTCTACTAGGCCAGTTTCGTGAAAGAAAAGAAATGACAAAACAGCACTGGAGTAGATTCGTGTCATTTTAAACACCATTCAAACAGATATGATGAAATTTGATGGGGAAGGTCTGGGGGCCGCTAAAAACGCGAATGGAAAGTGACACTCACGAAGGACGGTACTGAAATCAAACCAACTGCTCCACGGGATTGTCTACACACAGACGACATCATGGTCGAGAGCGAATTATGCAAGGCAGTCATTAATGTAAAACAGGCGCCATAAACGGAGCCACTACGACGGGGGAGGTCACGTCAGCCGAGAGCGACCGAATGTCTTGGTCACATTTTTTTCAACGTTTGGGTCGCAAGCAGGTCTTGAGAGGACCACATGCGTGGCACCCACCGAAAAGTAACATAAAGCCCCATGGCTCAGGCTGAATCTACCAACAAATTCAAAACAGTAATCACTGTGAGTGGATAATCAGAAAATCCAGAAGTGTCCTCTTTGGTATGAAAAGCAATTTAACGCTTTTTATTCGACTTGCACACGGCACCTCGTGCACACGAAGGCTGTTTTAATGTTTGATTGATACGCTGAGGATTGGATGAAGGCCTAAGCCTCCATCACTCGGCATGGAGAACGCAGTCTGCTCAGGCCCGAACAGTTTAATCTAACTTGAAGTAACTTCCAATTCGCTCTTCATAATTGAACGGCTGGAAGCTTCGCCAGCGTTTCTCCTTTCAGTATCGAGTTAAGTGGTCAGCCGACGACCTGTCCTCTGCAAGGCTGACGGGCATCTATCGACACTACGCAAGCTGATACGCAATTTCTGCTTCCAGGAAATGTTTTCATCCTCTCCTGCTTGCTCTGAGGGAGGAAAGTACAAGATGTAATCATGTTTTCTCGTCGATGTCTCCGCACAGTGCGATAAGAGCGGTACAAATCTTATGTTCACTAGCGAGTTGAACCATTCTAGCGCAGACGTCGAAAACGGCTCGATCTTGGATACTTGTGGATTGGAGGGAAACTGGAGACTGTATCGGAAAATATCCATGGCAACACCCAGAATTCACATCATCCCTTCGGATGATAGCCAGGAATATGCCAGAAATAATCCTGCTGGACAAAATATCGACCGTACAATTCTTCAAAAACGGGACCAGCGTGCGTTCTCCTCTGGAAGCAGCGGCGACGACGATGCGTCTATGTGTACCCTGTCTCCCAGAGCTGATGACGTCATAGATGACGTCATTTCTAGCCCAAATCCAGACGGACTGAGCCCAAGGAGGTACCAGGGATACAGTTACTCTTCTGATGAGCGGTCCACTTCCCAGTTCAGTTTTTCACCCTCGAAGCCCAGGCGACATTCCGACTCGCAGGCCCTTGGTGCCGATCCTGCGTTCAAAGAGGCTATCTTATCTTTGAGAGACTCCACGGAGGGATGCTGTGAGGACGAAGGATACTCAACTAGGGAAGCAGGTGAATTGACGGTAAACAAAGGAGGAGGCAATGCAAGAAGATGGAGTACTCCGTATTCTCAAGGTAACCAACCAATCTCCATGTACAATAACCACCTGTTAGATTAGTCCTGTTACGATATAAGGTCTAAGAATGGCTGTAGCTTATCTTGATCTTCTAAATGCAACTTCTTTCAAAAATCATCCGAAACATCTAGCTTACTATCTTGCAAATAACGATTCCAAGCATCTTACATATCTAAAAATATATTTCAACATAAAAGAAACATATATTCCGTGAACACTAGAGCCAACAGCACCGGGAACAAAAAAAAACCTTATTCAATGGGTTGGAATAAATTCAGCACTGTTGAGGAAATTGAACAATCTGCTGGAACTGTAACACAACTTGAAACTCTCCACAATATACGCATCTGTTACATCAAAGCTAAATTTTATATTTCGTTTTACATCTTCGAAGATGATGTTTTCCTCGACATTGTTTGATGGTGTATAATTCTTATCGCAAGCAAACCAATAAGAGAGTTAGAATATTTGAAACAAGGAATGAATGGATTAAAAAATGTATGTAAGTTATCCAAACAAAGTTGAATTTTATACATTTCTTATGAAAGTATCCACAGCTTCTCTTTGACATACTTGCTATGACAGAATGAAATACTACTCTTGTGCAGTCACATGTTGGTCCCTGCTGCCAACGCGTGGGTCAGAAGAACGATCAGTGACAATATATATAATTATGAACACAGACATCATTATCGGTCTGTGAATTGAAATATGATCGTAAATCTCCATTCTTATAATTCTGCACGGGGTCGATAAACCAAGTCCCGCAAAAATGAGTGATTTATGTGGCTAGCAAGCAAAAGTCTGCAAGGTGGTTGTTTTTTTCATCGAAAATAAGATATTTACCTGAACTATTTGTAATGAAACCAGGACGGCTTGCCAAGATAAGACGCCAGCTAAAATTTTATTTGATTTTTTTGTCTATCTGACACAGCAAACTATGACAATTTGCATTACATAGATCATTTTGGCGCTGAAGTCCGAATACGTGAAGTAACACAGGGAGAGAGAACACAAAGGTTGGTCTTTCAGAGAATTTTATCCTAATGCATTAAGTCTGAACGTACCTGAATCTAGTGTGCACCTGTTTCAATGAAAGTGCCTCTCTTTAGGATTTGCCGCACAAAACATTTCTTCTTCGCTGTGACCGATACGCACTTCAGAGTTTCACAAGAGCTCTACATTGCCTTGTTGACATACATTATACACCTGTTGGCTACATAGGCACTTGGAGGGCACCATTCCGGGTTCTTTGGTCAATTTGTTTCGAGAAGGTTATCTTTGCTTGCTCAGTGAAAAAAAAGAGCTGAAGCTGCAGATTCAAGTGGTGGATTGGCAGTTTCCGGGACGCCATCCTTGCATTGTGAAAGAGTGTCGTGGCACGTCTGCTAATGACTAGTGCAAAGAGAAAAACCAAGTCTGTTTTCAGCTGCCCAGCGACAATAACCGTTTACACAAGCCACTGTCTGAACCATATGGCTTTCAGTTCCCCTCGGGAAGAGAGAGAAGGTGAAGAGTTTAACCACTGAACAAACATGACTGGTAACTGGCTGTATGCTAAGACATTGAATGATACTGGCTCCCAGCAATTCAACTATTTCGTCAAGTTTTTAAAGGCGAACAGTGCGGACCAGTGCTGTAACTTTGATCTCTAGCTATACCATCTCTTTAACTTGGAGGTTTTCAAATTCAAATTGCCCTAATATTGCACTCATGCTAAGTGTTCACTTCCAGTGCATGAGTAATATTTAGAACCTGATACCTCGAGTGCATTACTCAGGACATGAAAATCTACCAGCGAAGTCAATTTATTAAATTTAATATTACTGAAAAGGTCGGTTAGCTGTTAATCTATACGGCGTCGTATATAAAAATGTCTGGACATTGAACTGCTGGTATAGACTCGGGTTGATTTGAGGCAGTCTCACCGAATGGCCGCGCCATGACATTGCCCTAATTCAAAGGCCTCACAGATGTAAATTTGAAGTACTACGCTTCCTCTAGTGAGCCAATGGAACACCAGTTTCCAGGAAAACAAATCCGCTAATGGTGTGTCACGATGGACGATTGAGTGTTGGCAGGGTTAGAGGCGGAAGGACCTCCTTAGCTTCCGCTGTCATTAATCGGTGGAGAGGTCCGTTCCATCGTGTCATCTTAGACACCGTCCCCATAGCAATGGGATGCGTATCGCTAGGTCAACAGGTCCAACACCAAGTACCAAGTAAACAGCTTTCGACAAACCGCGCTCATGCATGATGTAACGCTTACACGTTCAACCATGCGTGGTTAAACCGTAAGACAACCCCGTTCCTGATATTTTTCGTTTTCGTGGATTGGAAGGGCGTATTTCCCACCCATTAAACAATGGGTGCTTTTTTACTCTTAGCAGTTGGCGGGCCCTCAGAAAAGTTCAGATGAAACCTCAGTACTTAAAGTGTTTACGGAATCCCTGGACTGTCAACGACGCCGGGACATATCGGATTAAACCAATGGGGCCGCTTTCCCGAGCTGAGGTGACACGGGATCTGAACAGGTAACTACCACAGGGACTGTACGAGTAGGTCAGTGTGCTTGGAAACCATAAACTTTGTTTATAGCTGCTCAGTGTTTCGGGCATTGGTTGAGCTGGGTTTTAATTAGAGTCGCCTGGTTTCCGGTCTCTTGGGCCGGGGTAACCTTACAAGTGCGTTACCAGTGGGGTTGGGCCGACTATGGATGACGTGTTTGCTTCAGCACATTGGCAAACATGATCAAAGAAAGGGATTGTTTTTTTAGAGACGGGTACGTGGAGTTCTTGAAGGATCAGCAGTTTGTATGCCTTTAGTGAAACTTTCAAAGTAGAAAGCCAAGAGATGTCTGTGGACACATCGTGCTCGAGACAGCATTATGCGATTTAGCACACTTCTTGAAATCGGTGTCTTGGTCTTGGGATATAGGTTGTGCACGTTCGTTGATTCGGATTTCTACCAGGAAAATACTTAAGCGTCAAAACAGCTTTGTTAACTTTGCATAGGGTTCCTGATTTAGCAGCAGTGAGTGCGACTACAGGAATATAGCTACACTAAATTCGATCACGTCTAGCACGATTACCTCGGCGTGTGCAGGGGACAAATTCTCCATTACTTTGGAGAATCCTATCGGGGAGATAGTGCACGGTCTCGGTTAGCCAACACGTTTGTTTTACATGTACTTACTTACCAAATGTTGGACTTAGCGTCAAGGAATCATTCATCACCGACTTTAACGTCTGTTTTGTTTGAGCTCTGGGTCAACCCATCAAACTGGTGATGAAGGAGCGGTAATCTACATGATGCAGGCTTGATGAGTGCCTCGTCAGAAACAGCGCTTTGCACTTCATAGTTAGTTTTCTCCTCCCGCTCAAAGATTTGCAAGGAAACGGGGAAAAAACAAAAAAACTGAGTATTGAAATGGCGCAGCGGCACACACGTGGGACGTGCCAGGGCTACCTTCCACACAACAGGACCCGCTGGTCGGGAGTATCCGGCACAGGTAGGTTAAGTAAACGCCCCGTTTTTTAAGGCTCAGGGGCACCTGCCGTGTGAAAAGGAAAACGTAAAAAGCTAATGGATTTCCAGGCCTGACGACCGTGCTCCTTGTATAGATGTAGCCGACGTGGCAGGTGAATTCGATCGCAGTTTCAACATGTTTGGGTTGCAAACAGAAAATCGTTGGCACCTTAGTGTCTGCCCGGGAATCATGGTCACATACCCTGCAGTTGGAATACCTTGCATGAGTTACTCTCCAATGTTAAATGTATTAGATGCTTACATTTCCTTGGGAAATGATGCATAAAGGTTGATACTAAAGTGTTCACGGACAGTCGTGCGAAGTTATACTATGTCTGTGTAATGACCAAGCGCTTGAAAGCCTCCCCCGACATGCTCTATAAGCACGAGACTACAATAATGCAGGTTACTTTGTAACGCCGTGTGGTTTCTGGAAATTGTATAAAATAGAGAGCAAATAAGCCTACTAGAGAGTTTCTAATGGCTCATCACAGCATGTTCGAAACAACTGGCCACGGTCGGTAGTGACGCATAAGTCTGTTGGAAGTGGCTGCCTTCTAGCAAGTGGCACAAAGGCGCACGCGTTATTGCAGGCCGCAGCCATGACTTTAGGACATCGTCTCTCTGGGAAGCAATGAAAACCTAAAGACGCCGGTGTTATACGGTTTCCGTTTTCGTACATGAATTTCCCAGTTAATAATCAGCGATAAATTCCATAATGTGTCAACTATGATCATACTCCTGTAGTCTAGGTTTCTTGACCAAACGCTTTGGTCGCTTAGGACACTCGGATCACTTTGAGCTTTGATTGGACAAGAGTTGTACATGTACGTTGATATTCCGTGGACACTTTTTGCCTCATGAGAATACCTGGTACTTCAGAAGAACTGACTTTGTTTCTTCCACGAAACGTCTGGATCATCCGATGACTCGGTCCTCATGGCCTCGCCTTCTCTTGTTGACAGTTCACTCAAACGCACCTGACATTTACAATGCCGTCTGGACATGCTTTACCCATCAACTGTTTTTTTGTCACTGGGACAAACATTACATCGTGCCCTCATGTGGCGCAGAACTGGGGGGGACCATCATCAGAAGGGGGATTTCCCAGCGGGCTTCCGAAGCATGTGTACCGGGCAAGATTCGGCCAAGACTCTTCAGCAATCCAAACAAGTCCCATCCCACTTCATTGATTGTTTTTCACCTGTCGCGCACTCGCATTCCTTATTTCCGACTTGATGCCTTGTTTTCCTGCCAGCCTGCCCTCTGGGATTTCCGTGTCTTGGAGTGATCATCTTCATTTTTTTCTCCAACTGCCGGGCACCTAAGCAATCTCAGCGTATTTCTCGCCAGATCTTATGCCGAGAGTTGTTTGTGTTCTTTCTAGACAGAAATTGCACGTCTGCGATCCCATAGTGAGAACGTCTAGTATATTACATTAGTAGAAGGATGCATGCGACATATCGCGAGAGGGTTGACTTTTCGATCTGTTCGGCTGTTTATCTTGGAAATCGACAGAAGCACAATAATCTATGCAAGGAGATTGAACCATGGGGCATTCTGAAGGGCGTCGTATGCTCTCTTGAGCCATTTGGCTGGAACCCTGTGGCAAAATGACTTCCACAACTCAACTTGCTTCAATCTGGACGAAACCAAAACAATTTCCGCAGCAGGAATTAGTAAGCCTCGAAAGACAGGCAACCCGAACAAACTTACTTCAAACAGTTATTTCCTTTCAAAGCCTTCACCGCCACCTCGCCAATGTTACATCATTGCTAGCCATATGTGAGGTAAAAGGTATAGGTTTCACGTTTTAACCAAATCCTTAAAGAGGAAAATTTTAAGTGAATGATTAATGTGTACTCTTTTATACTCTTTTATATTGATTCTTTAAAAAAGACGATTTTGAATGCATTGGAAAGGTCAAACAAGACAGCCGTAGTCATTACAAATATCGGAACGAAACAACAATCATAACGGATCGTAAGTACAACAACTGCAGGCAGAGCTGTACAAACGATGATAAAATCCTGGCGGCGCATGTAAATCTAACGTTCGACGGGAGGTAATGCGGTAACAACATTGGGTTATTTGTGTGAGATCAGGTGTACCATCAAACGAGATTTACCCAGCAAATTCCTGTATACACATCGACTCCAGTCCCGGGGATCAAACAAAGACATCTCCCAAACGACTACATGAGAGCGAAGTACATTAAAGCATCCGACAGTCAAGTTATATTAAGTTACTCAAGCGAAGAGGCACTGACAATGCGCATCGTTTCGTATACATGACCTCATAATATATTTGCTACAGGAGTGAGGTACAGTAAAATGAACACAAAAGTATAGTCGTGATAGGTTATCCAAAAAAAGGGAAGAAAAAGCAAGACAAGGAAAAGTTCAGACTAGAGATGAAATGGAAAAACAGAGTTTCAGACGCAAAGGAAACATTTTCTGAAAAGGAAAGGTACAGGCAAAAAAGCGATGACCTGCCGAGAACATGGGCGCCACGTGTTGGAAGAGGGAGCGAATATAATTGATATAGGAGGTAAATGACGACGGGGCCTCTCTCTGGCAGTGGAACTGTAGAAAAGAACGACGAGTCGCTTAATTAAGGATATTTATCATCCCGTATCCTCGCTTTAAGAAGCCACTGCTTCGACGGAATATAATCCACAAATCGGTCGCGTTTGTCGGGAAACTAACCGAACGTAATGCAACTAAAATGTTCCTCTGAAATAATGAACACATGGACTTGACGGTTTATTGAAAGAACAGTAAGCCTACCCCAAATGGGCACTTAAATTTGCTTGTTAATTCGAAGGAGTCATTTGGAGAGCAAATAGTTTGAGAATAACATCTAAAATTAAGCTAGTTATACGGCTGTATAATTTTCTTCGACATTCAGAATTTCTTTTTTCGTTCGAGGCGAAAAGGTCCTTTAACGGTGTTCATGTTAGGAACACGCACGCTTACAATTGCTTAAAAATCGTGGACTATTGTTGCAGACGTAATCACCTTGATAGGAATAACTGTATTTCAAAAAGAATTGCTTGATCAGGTTGGGTTTAGAAATATGAGTATAATGGACATCTTGTGATGAATAACTTATTCTGACAAGGCCAAAAGTGGAATGGCAGGAAAGGTATAGGCCTATTACTGAATACGACAGAAGCAGGCTGCTGGCTCAGAGTCTGGGTTAGCGTCTCACATTATCATATCATACATCGTTTCATGTCTCAACATTCTATGTATGGCTCACACATCTGCTACTCGTGCGCACTGCAGTATATGTGAATTCTGCAGCCACATCCTCAGCCTTCGGGGCATATCTTTGTCGTTAATAGACATAATCGAATCTGTATTGTTCAGTTTTCCTGACAAAAGACTGCCACAATATTGAAACTATATAGCTACAGGCTACGATGAAAAAACCTTCCACAGCAGTCTAACAGCAAAGACCAGCCCTGCATTGTAGTTGAAGTCATTTATGAAATGATAAAAACGAGCCTGACTCCCTAATGTCTCGAACACTGACGTGCCACCACAATTCACTGTAAATTCAATTACTTCTCAAGTGCTACTGTAACGACAGTTGTATCAAAATTTTAATTTTGCGGGCAACGTGTGTCTTGCTGTTGCAGTGCCCATTACGACCCTGGACGTTACCTGTTTATTTGGATTTCTTCCCTTCTCCCTGGGCAATTAACTTTTGCAGTGGACTTGAAACCAATGCACTTATTAAAAGAGGAGTGCATTTTTAAGACAAAGTAAGGTGTGCACAACGGAGGGTTACCGTAGATGTGACTCCCCCCGGAGTTTTCTCTGGTCGGGGCTGGCTTGTTCCGTTGCGGTAAGCAGTGCTGAAATAGTCTGGTACGTAATGACAGATATTAAAAGAGGCGTTTGTTCCTCGGTTGTCATGGTGCCAGAGGATGCTTCATGTCGTTGCTATGGTGACATTGGCAGAGTGGAAGAACACCCGGGAGCTAACCAGCAAAGCACAGAAGCTGAGCATGTTCGAAATGACTTGGTGTGCGGACTGGAGAAGCTGATTGTCTGCTAGAATTTGGCGACTGCTGTCAGTGTTTTTATTCGTTCCCAATCTACTGTGCCATTCTTTTGAATAATGACAGACAGACATTCCAGGGAAGCAAGATGACTCGAACAACTGCAAAATAGTAGCTACAAGACCAAGAGATTGACTGATCTGAACTGAAACGTGTGCATTAACAAAATTCGCTTAACCAGACCCTCGTCTAATAAACATAAACCTGTAATTTAAAGTGCTCAAGGCAGAATTATGTAAACACAGAGTCAGTCAATAACAATGGATTCTTATCTTCCACCAGCTGTAACAATGAGCTAGTTCGTTATTTCAACTTAAAGGCAAGGTCAATGGAGCACAAAGCACGCGTGCGAGTCAGTCTGACAGACACTTACCAACATCTTTGAATTACAGTGCAATTCAATTGCAATTCTTACGTGTCAAAGTACTGCGTAGTTTTGTTGTACTTGCTTAATCATCGTTTCTATTACCATATGTTTACTAATTATTTACCACGCATTTATTCATAAATTTATGTGTAATTTGTTTGAACGTTAACTACTTTGCAGTAAGTACATTCGGGAAAAATGACAAACGTTCCCACTCGATGAATCAAGAGCACTGATACCTATCTCCAGTCACACAGTCTCGCCCTTTCCGAGGTTATTATTAAAATGCAAACGCTTCTCACCCTCCGGAAATCTTCAACGGTCAATGGCGCCCGTTATTGTCTCTAATCAGCACACTTGACCGACTTCTGTCTATTTGCTCACTTTTGGCCCCCGAGAACCGTACTCCTTTTTTTCCCTGTGCTGTCATTGGAATTTGATGGGGAGGTAGAGAACGTGTTTACCAGAGCTACATCCCCTCGGGAAAAAAAGTTGGAGATTCAGTGTAAATTTTGCCGACGAGTCTTCCTGATGTCAGTGGGACTTTGGAAGTACGCCGAGGTCTAAGCCTTGATAAGAATAACCGTGAAAGGACCCTGTCGCGTTGAAATTCGTTGCAGTTTCTTTTTCTATTGCCAACATTACTTTCTTGCGTCAACTAAAACTGAAGGTAGACGGACGTATGTCGGGATAAAGAGTGACCAATTTAATAAGCTGCCGCTTAAAACTATTATCCAGCACAACCATCTTTCATTACTGTGAAAAAAAAATCGTGCGGCAGACCGAGACTGTACGGTACAAGCGCTTACCATTTTCTCACATGGCGATTCCTTTTATGTTAACTCTTCTAATGAATTAGATACATATGGTAATCAAGACAATAATAGCCATCTTAAACGAAACGGACCAAATCCACAATATCCTCATTTTTCTCCACAGTTTACAGCGTGCAAGAGGAGTCTCCTGACCTGACAAAGGTGAAAAGCGCCCCCATCAGTCCAGTGGGCAGGATGGTAACGCGCAACTTCTTCGAGAACAAACTTGGTCTTGCCGACGACCTCAAGTTCATATCCCGCATGCCGGAGCTATGTGATGTGACGTTCCTTGTTGGGGATAGGCGGGAGCCAGTCTGCGCAGTCAGGGCCATTTTGGCGGCAAGAAGCAGGTAAATACAAGCTTAATTACCCAAGGAGCCTACATACAATTAGCCTTGTGTTGGTTGGCATGACACGTTAGATTTGAATTACTTCAATTGCCTGCCCTACTTTGTTACAATTTAGTACAGTTTAGTAGGTTTACTCATCAGATTCATTCATATTATGATTATGACGTCTCACCATCATCGAAAAATTATCTGGGTGCTCCCTTCGAAAATCTTGGAAACGACTCTGAAATATTCCTTGGAGAAATCTCACATGTAAATCTCAGACAGCCGCTAGTGCGGCTTACAAAAGCGCTGGAATGTTGGCGAAAGAAGCCACATTCCTTTGTCATACCAACTCAAGTCAAACGTGCTCTGTGTGATGTCTTGCCACTGGAAATTCTTCCCAGGGAAATATGGCGACATCCATAAGTGGGGCGGACGTCGAACCCCACAGTTCTGGGGGCACCATAATGGTTGATTTGGAGAGACCTACAAAACACACACAGCCATCAAAATTGGGTACTCCCCGATGATCTCATTACAGTTCGGGTTTGGACCATTTTCTCATCCCTAAAGGTGTATTTTGACAAAGCCTTACTACACAAATCTACATAACCTACATGAAAGATGTGTCTTTCATGATCTTATTTATGGCGCTGAACTTTGCTGAGGATAAACGCACTTTCTTCCAAGTTTCTTTCGCCAGCAACATGCAACGTATTGAACACACGTTTGCATCAAAGCTGTTGTGCGGTACAGTCCACATATCGACGTTAACAAAATGAAACTTATTTTGCCTTGTTTCGCTCCTACCTTCTTTTCCAACGTCTAGGGTCTTCCACAAGCTTCTTTACTCCGGTACCGTCACGCCATCCAGCAGTCCACGCCGACGCGCAAACAGCATGGAGAGTCGTTTCGCTCGCAAGACCGTCTCTTTCCTCACGCGCTCCAAGAGTAATGGCGACCCAGATGGCAGCAACAGCGCCTCCAAGTGTCCGCGGACGGTGCTGATCGAGGAGTTCGAACCAGCCGTGTTTCTGAAGTTGGTCGATTACTGCCACACGGGTTGCGTGGTGCTGAATGCAGAGACGGCCTTGGGTAAGTATGATATCTACAGGAATAATATGTATCAAAACGAATCTCCTGGGATTGGGTCAATGCAGTGGATACACAAAAATAATCTTTTTAACTGAAAAAAAAATGAAAAGTGAAAAGACTCCAAGCTCTCCGTTTGCTGGTACAACGTGCCCAGCGATAGCTAGATGTGTTATTAATAAATGTACATATACAATGTGCAGACGAGCAGGGGAAATTGTGCCTTAAGATGTTATGCCAAATCAAACAATAAGCCACTGCAATGGTCTACCTGCAAAGTACAGAGAATTAATAAATCTGCTAGGCTTTGCTCATTCACACCTTGTACATGTACATTTATTAATAATACATGTGGCTATCGCTGTTTGGGTCGTATCAGCAAATGGGGAGCGTGAGGCGTGTTTAGAAAATCCCCTCCACCCTTTTCCAATTTACCGTCTAGAGACTGACAATACAAATTTCCAAGGTTAACGCTTAAGAAAACAAAACTGATTTTGTGCGTTTTTTTATTTAGAGTGACGGAAGTGCAAAAACAGTGTTGGTTATGTCAGCTGGTATCAATGTCAATGTTTACATTGCTGTATTACTAACATTCAACGACTCTAACCTTTATGGGAAATCATGCAGGATCACTTAAACAGTCTTCCATAAGTAGGACTTTTATATGTTGGTAAAAAACAACACAATGAAATCAGATTTGCGTTGGGGTCATTGTGAGCACACCCAAAATGTCACCAATAAATAACTCACAATTTTGAAGTTAAAGTTGCTCATTATAATATCGTTCGTGTGCTCTGTATACTGATTAACTCAACTACATACCTTGGAACGTATCTGAGGAATTCAGCAAACCTTTGTTGACATATCTTTCAAAGTATTTAAATTCCGTACATCGCAAGGTGCAAAGGCAACAAACTATAAGCGTTTTGTATTTAAATTTTCTCTTTTAAATTTAAGATTAACACAAAATATTAAATGTTGTAAATAACATATCCTGCTTCGCGTGCATATTCAAATTACATTAAAGAAACAATACATGTACCACATGTTACCAAATACAACACCACAGTATCACGGCTATAATGTGAAGTTGCAAGAGAATGCACAATGATACCTTGAATTCCAGACTATTGGTGCAATTACACAGTCTTGATCTCACACGTGATACAATAAAATATTGGTAGTCTTAAGCCTACTGTGCGTTGATAATGTTACACTATAAACAGTTGATTCTATTTACAATAATATTTGAGCCAAAACATAAAATACATGGACAGTAATTGTTAATGTGTGTCCTTATTTATTAATTTTTCCATTTCTTTACGCAGGGTATGCCCAAACAGTTACAAACTGGTTTCCATTTGGGTCCTGCGATCATTACAAATTAATGGTTAGAAACTCACAACGAAAGGTAAAATTGACGAATACGACAACATCAATATTTACAAATACAGACCACTAAAATATCAAACACATATGAACATTTAAATAATCAAGGCATTAATTAAATAATGATCACGGGATGGGCGAAAACCTGGGGAAAATACCCATGACAAAAAGACCACAAACAAATTCCTGATCCAGCTCCAATGAACATTGGCAACCAAGTTAACAACATAGATCAGCATTTTGGACTACACGGCACTGGTCATGGCTTTCCGTAGTTCTGATTTGAATGTCCCTAAGGAGTCTTTACTTCTGAGTTGCTCTGGCAAATTATTCCATACTTTTGCACCTCTCGCCACAAAACTTTAAGCGTAGCATTCTTTTTGGCTAAAGGGACTTTAAGTGCCTTGTTAACTGAGTATCTTGTTTCACAAATCTGTGTGAATGGCATAAACAGATTTGTCATATACATAGGAACCTATTTGTTTAGACATTTAAAAACAAGAACAGTCTTTTTAGATCTAATAATAACTGCGAAATTGTGTGATCGATAAAAATGTCAAGTGAGGAATTGCACGGTGTTGTTGAACTCTTGAAAAATGAGATGATTTTTCATGTTAACGAAAACAAAATTTCGAACTGCGCGTGGACGATCACGAACGTTAATACGAATTCAAGCGTTATGTTGTAAATGATACTGGCTAGCCAACTTGCCTATTTTGAGGTACGCCACACGGTTGTTGAAACTACAGAGTACCGTCACATGACATGCTTTAATAAGTTAGTAAATATGTGCATGGCCGGTCTCAAACTAGACCGGCTCAGGAGACTGAACGCCGATAATGCCCGAGCCGGTGCGTCCATTCTCATGAGCCTCCCTTAAACGCATATTTTAGCACATATTTATTCCCATTCATAAATACCTTTTTTTCAGAGAATCCAAAGAAGTCAAAATAAGATAGACTTCCAGCGATGTTGTTCCAGAGTAATATTTTACTGTCATTTTCCCTAACACCCCCGTCCACTTTATGGAGAACTCCTTGTGAAAGTTGCCGAATTGGCTCGCGCGTGGCAAGCCGCGTGCAGACGTGTTTGAATCTGTCAGGTTTTGAGAAACACATAATGATCAGCCATTTTGCTCCCTAAAATCTGAAGCTGGCGCAACTCTATACGCAGCTCTGGATAGAATAACTGAACAGCGACCTCTAGCAAGCACTGGCACAAGGTACTCCTATCACAAGGACCGTAACAGTTTGACAAAACAAGTCGCCGTTTTGGCGCTAGAATGAAAAAAGTAAAAAGAATACCAATATCTTTTAACTGTGAATTACCTGTGTGTACCACCAGCAGTAATGCAATCTATGTAAGTTTAATTATTATGGAGGCTACCCTATAGACAATGTGAAGTACATAATAAAATGTGAATTTCTACTTGCAAACTCGACTTCAGAATGTAATACATGTACTTGTATGATACTTGTAAAAAATCTCGTTGGAGCTCGCCTCATACACCACCGAAATACAAAATAGACCGTACCAACGTGTATGCATATAGAGCTACAGTGAACTTGGCTGTATAAATGGATCTTTGTGATCTGTCGCCATGCAGTAATCAAGCTAAAAAAAAACGTACCGTGTGCACACGAGTATTTATTTAAATCAAACGACGATAGGTCAAAGATCTTCCTGCCACTGAATATATTCGGTGTACACTTAATTCTTTCATAATAAATACCTGGCCCTAGCTAATTCTCACTATTTGTTGCAATTACTATCATTGCTCTGTAATGCTCACAGTTAGCACACCAAGATTTCCTTTGGTGACAAATGTCGCCTTTACTGTGTTTTTAATGTTCTCATTGGTACTACTTACAAGGCTACGTAGAGTTCCGAAGTTCTGCTCGTTTGTGGGTAAATGTATCACTTATTTTGGTGACCTTGCAATTGGATCTTCTTACCAGGATGTTGAGGAATGTCTTTCCATTTGAAACGGACCATGTAGGCGAAAGCTTCTTTAAAATCTGGGTGAGATGTGGCGTACAAGATGGGATTGATACAGGTGTTACAGTACACGATTAGACCAGCATAGGGTGCCATGTGATAGATCCACCCCTGTCCCACTTGGATTAAATAGGGGCCAGTGATTAGAATGACGAAGAATGTAGCCAGACAGATAACGTAGGCTAAGACGATGTAGACGAGATTTTTGGTGACCGCAATCTGCCTCTTCCAAAGCTTCTTGCGCATTGCACGACCAGCTCCGCTCACCGCACCGGAGACGCTCGGTGTGTCTTAGCGGGCCATATGACTGGATGTCTTGAGCACGTACCGGAAAATCGAGATGTAGCACATGGCGATGACGATGAACTGGAGGGGGAAATAGAAAACAACGCCCAAAATGTTCTGGATGTGGGAATAGGGATTTGTAATAACCCAGGAACAAGTGCTATAGAAAGGTTCGTAGCCGAGCTCGCCGAATCCGATAGCTGTTGGCAGTATCGTGCAACAGACAGGCATGACCCAGGAGAATGCGATCATGCAGGCGATGTTACAACGGATGTAGATGCGGCGTGCCAACCCCCTTGATTTGGTGACACCAATCCACCTGTTCAGGGCTATCAGAGCCAAAGTATTGATGCTACAGCCATTACCAATAATCACTGCTGCACTGGTAACAACACAGAGCCAGTAAGCTTGGGGTAGAGGCCAGCCGCCCTCGCTCAACACACTCACCGCCTCCCAAGGCAGAAAGATACAGGAGAGTAAATCACTAACGCTAAGGCTAATCACAAACACGTTGGTGACTGTACGGAGTTTCTTGGACAGTGGCACGGCAATGATGACGAAAGTGTTACCGATAAGTCCGATGATGGCGACCGAAACAAACAAAGCTGCAAGTATTTGTCTCACAAAGTAATCCTTAAACACGGCAAATGGTTCCTGCATGGTATCTTTACTCGCTCCAGTCGAATCATTCTGCCCATGAGATGTTGAGGTGTCCAAGTTCGATAAGAATGACTATCGTAGAATTACGTCCTGGCCAGATAAAGCCTCAACTTCGTTAAAAATGATCTTTTTCTTGCGTAAATGAGCTGGTTATCAGGACGTCCGTATGGTTACGTCTATGGCTCTTATTTCCGACCAACCCTTATTTTTGCTCTAACCGAGGAAAAACACTTTTTTATGCCACCGACCTTGTGTGGAATTCACTACCCAGAAAAATATGAAAAAAAGTTGAAGAACATCCGGGATCAAGCAAGTAATGCTTTTACCCCCTTGTTTCCTGCGACAGACCGACCCTCCCTCCAAATCGAAATGTACATGAACCAGAGGAACAACTACGGACGCCCCAATGCATGCAGTCCAGGGAACCTTCAGGAAGAGTAGGCAGAGAGTATTAAAACACCAGATCGTCTGGGTCTGCTGCTACACAGTGTCTACCGCAAGAGGTCGCTAGAAGAAGGGGATGGAGCGGTATACAGTGACAATGTATCATAGGCGTAATGTATTCATCTGTCGAGGCTAAACCATGTCAAAATAAAGGAACAGTTGGTGGCTTCTTTGCATAAATGAATAACTTTTTCCTCTTCGAGAACGTTTCGTGTCTATGATTAAGGAAAAGCGTAAGTACGTGTACATATGTTTTAATGAAATAAAAATACGTACACATGTATTTATAGAATGTTCCCCCACTACAGTGCCAAAACACTACCACAGCATGCACGTTGCAATCAGGTCTATTTTTTCTCCTGTTACGACATTGTACGTTGAACACAACCAGGTACATGTACATGTTCAACAAATGCCTTTGTCACACTATAGAGCAAGGATCAGACTGACACAGAGTTGTAGAGTTTGGCAGTAATTTGATACACGCATTGATCCAATCGCATTTGTTGCTGTGTGCAGCGCCTGAAGTGCATTGACGTCCATCACCATTAAAATGCAATGTGGATGTGGGCGTGGGAGAACCCGACGGGAAAAGGGAGCTTTTTTCTTTGAGCGGAAGGCCGGAACAAAGCCTAATCACTCCACTATCATACGACCCTGTCACAGGCAAAATTGTTGCCATTATGGTATTAATTTAGGGTAATTATGTTTGACTTGGTGTTCTCTAGGAGGTTTTGTGATGAATATGTTGAAAGCTGTCAATTTGCTTTTCCCTTAGTTGAAATACACGCCTGATGTGAAAGGAAATTTAAATTATAAGAAAAGTGACGACCACGGCACCAGACCTTGACATGATAATGAAGTCGTGGTTAGCGCGATATGAGGCTGATGTGACGCATATTTGCTTTTTTTCTGATTGGCTCACAGCCATATTGCAGTCACAAAAGTAAATAGCTACAGTGCTGCACTGGAGTTGGCCTTGCTCTAGCCCAGCGAACAAACGATAAGCAACATATTCTATAGCATACTGCTGCGCCTTAGGTATTCCTCACTATATGAGTATAAACATCCACGTCTGCTCACTTTTACATGAATAACACAAGAAAAAATGAAGAATTCAGTTCACTGAAAGATATCTCATTTTCAACACTTCTTTTTTATAGCTCTAAGGTCGTGCAATGCTTCACTTACCAATGTGACCTTATTCGTTACAAATATAATTGGCATATATGTTATCAGCCTAATCCCCCTTCAGCTTTTGTGCACGTCCTAGCTGTAAATGAACACCTTAATTTCCATAACCTCTTCTACAGCAACACACCCCTGCAGCCACACTGAATAACGAGATGAATTTCTTGAAGTCATCATCCGCCGAATGCATGGCGTTACTTTGGATTCATTTGTTTTGGTTTCTCGTATTGAGCTGGAGAGACTGTGCGCGGCTTTGGGGTTTCGTTGTGCACTGACAACGAACCATGAATCCAAAGGCTTCCTTGAAGTCAGGGTGAGATGTGGCATAGATGATAGGATTGACACAGCTGTTGAAGAAGAGGATCGCCCCGGCGTAGGGAGTCAGTCGGATGCTCCACTCGTATCCTAGAGGGATGACAGACACGGCAAACGGCGTGATGCAGATGACGTAGGCCAAAACGATGTAGACGAGATTCTTAGTGACCGCAATCTGCCTCTTCCAAAGCTTCTTGCGCATTGCACGATCAGCTCCGCTCACCGCATCGGAGACGCTCGGTATGTCTTGACGGGCCAGACGGCGGGATGTCTTGAGCACGTACCGGAAAATCGAGATGTAGCAAAGCGAAATAACAGCAAGAGGGGCCGGAAAAAAGAAAACGATGATTAAAATGTTATGCAGAAGCGAATATTCATTGCCTTTCACCCAGGAGCAAACGCTGTACAGTGGTTCGTAGCCAATTTCACCAATGCCAAGTAAGGGTAACATAATGGATAAAACGAAGGGTACAGCCCAAGACAAAGCTATCATACAGGCGATGTTACGGCTGGTGTAAATGCGGCGAGTTGTCGCAGCGGATTTTGTGATGCCGATCCACCTATTCAGCGCTATGAGAGCCAAGTTGGTGACACTGCAACAGATGCTGAGACAAAATACCGCACTGGTGACAACACAGAGCCAGTAGGCTTGTGGAAGTGGCCAGCCGTCTTCGCTTAGTACGCTTACTGCCTGCCATGGCAGAAACGTGCAAGCCATCAAGTCACTCACGCTGAGGTTGACGATAAAGACATTGGTTACAGTGCGGAGTTTCTTGGAGAGCGGAACAGCACAGATGACCAAGGTGTTACCGACAACGCCGAAGACGGACGATACGATGCACAAAGTGGCTAGAATAACCCTCATATAATAATACTTATACACCTTAAATGGTTCCTCTGTACTGTTGATACTTGGAAGGATCGAGATAACAGTTGTTGAATTCTCCATACTAGGTGCCGAAATCACAGTGAAAAATGGGTCTTCGGTTTCTTTTTAAATACGATAAACTTTGTGTCGGCAATGGTGCTGAAGAAAGCCACCTGGTCGCCTGTGCCCCTATATCAAAACCCAGCTCTTACATACTTTGATGTCTGCCACGCTCTCTTGCCTGCTGCCGGTCGCTGTGAAGACTGGTAGAAGCCGCCTTATATTCAAGGTTGTGGATTGGTGTTTGCAACTGGCGGAGTGATACAAAATTAAATTTCTCAAAGGGGCAGGGCTATAACAAAACCTACGGCCGTGGATAATTTGAAAAGCGGAAATGGAGGTGGAGGCTGGTTGCCTTCAGGTTGTTGAGCGCACTGTTTATGTTGTATATTAATCATTGTTCACGTGCAAAGTTGACGCGTTAAGAGCCTTCTGAAAAGCTTTTTGGAGTGACAGGTGCAGTTTTGCATTCACTTATTGGAGTTTGGCCTCTCCTGTCACATTTCCTTCGCTTTTCTATCCCTTTCGCAACAAAATGAGTGCGATTATAATAATTCCACCGGATCTAGCCAAAGCTTAATCAGTTGCCTTCTTGATAAATGCCAAAGATTCTCATATTTGTAGTCATTAGCAGAAAGATCTTCATTTTGTCCACTTTCCTGGAAGGTTCCTCGATGAAAACTGACACTGACAGCTCTGTTATTTTCAAGACCAACGAACAGGCGTTCCTCAATTCAAACGAATTTGATCAAACGTGATCACGGCGATTTCTGTTCGGGGGGTGAGGTTTGATAATTTCAGTTTCAGAGCACAAACCCCTTACCTCTACAGACATTGAAAAAGAGGAGCAAGGTTTGATCATTCACAACTAATCTATTTTGGTAGGATAGCCCCGGCCGTTGAGCTTCGCTATTGGTGATTACTGCTCATGTGCACTATACGATACTCGTTTACATAGTACAGTTTACTAATCGTGCTCCATGATTGAGGAGCTATGTTCAGTATAACAAAACATAACCGATTTACTCTCATGTGAAGATTTTAAACTGTTGTATGTTTACCTGGCTTGCGCACCTTGACATTTCATTAGACGTCTCGACTGACGCAGTCGAAACGCCTGAGCTTGAAACGATGGACACATGATAATCAAATCACACTTTATTTGCTCTATGCGGAGCGTCAACAGTGGTAGAGGTGATCATCATGAGTGCAATTTTTTTCGAGCGGGAGGGACAGTAACATTGCTTTTTTTCATTACAGAGCATCCATTTCCGTACCAATTTTTAATGGCGATTGACATGGTGCAATGGTCGAGTTGTATGATTGTTTCCAAGGCTGGGTGGTGAGACGATGCATCGTCTCAAGTTTTCCCTGCTTTACTTTCTTACTTTTTGTAAAATGAAATTGATTGCGAAGGGGACGAGGCGTTGGACTATGTATAGACTCGTGATTGCTTTTATTTTATCTGCCGCCTAATTTTGTGAGCACCAGAGAGAACTAGTACTTGAACATCGCACTGGGGCAGATATAATTAGCCCCGCCCACCATGTCAACGACGTGCATCCCTATTGGCAAATGACTCAACGCTCTCTATGCAACCCTGGAGCATGAATGTAACAACACTGGCAGGAATATGGCTCCTTGTGTTGGTGAATATGGAACTCATTTTTAATTGGATTCGCTGACAGACTTACCAAGACCATAAAACACAGATACAAACCAGTTGTGAGGTTTACCCGTTATAACGGCAATGCTCTTCACGGCAAACTGAAGCCAGTAAATATTATTTTAACCATCGGAAAAGATAGTTCTACAACAAACCTCTTTTTGAGCATTTGGACGTTCCACTCTAGGCATACTGACACAAAAGTCTGAGAAAAGTAAGTGATATCCTGTTGCAACGTTACAACATGGAGAGAAATGTTAGACTTGGAACCCTTTTACCAGCAAGCGTTAATTCGGAGCGGTTCATGCAATCGCAGGCTGGTCGATACCCTGTGCTCATAGGGAAAGAACACAACTTTACGGTTTGTATAAGAGTAACAGTCGAACTCAGATAGTCACGCAGAAATTATTTATTTATACTCCTAATGTCGACGAAGACGTCTCAGAATAAACTGTCTTACTCTTAGTGAAAGGGGATACAGACATGCACATGTATTAGTTTTCTCCAATAGTTAGCTATAGGTTTAGAACCGTTATACCGTTAAAACGGCACTTCACAAGAGAAACGTACTATAAGAATAAAGGAACATATACATCACAACAAAGAAAAAGCTCCACATTTTTAATGAAGTCCTGCGAATATGGATCTCGACAGTTTTCTTGAAAGCTGCTGGTGATACTCAGGAAATGTTTTTTGAATCTGCGTGAATTTAATTGGCAGCTTTTGTCGATGACGGAATATTGTGCGACAGAAGCCGACAACACTCTCTGCTTCTTTCGATCCTATAAGGCAATTCAAGAGAATATTCAGTTCTCCAGTTTGCCTTGTCTGTCTCTCATTGATTTCGCATAAATGCATGCTTTCACATCACAAGGTTAAATATGGCTAAAACATCAGATGTCTGCGCTGACATCAAACAGACCGCGCTCCAGTTTGCGTCAGCAAAGTTTAGCAAGATTGACTTTTGTGATTTGGCTGTTTGAAAGTCGTGACAGCTGAGATGCGTTTATTTGCTTTGATGATATATACCGGTATACAACACTGTCTGAATCAGTTAAAAACCAAAACAAAATGAACGTGACAACATAAAAAGAAAACGAACCCCTCCAAGTTCGATTTGTCGTCAAATCATCTTCGAATTAATTTGAAGATTAAAGCCTGTAACACATCGTTTGATTACTCAGTACACAATATCGATTTGTATATGAAATCAATAAAAGCAAAAGCAGACCTGATGCCAAGAGCAATGCCTATGTAAATAGCAATTGAAATTACAAAGAAGCACTTCAATGCCACAAACACTACATGCACTAGCAACAGAAATTGGGAAAATTTACTGTTGTGAATACTAATATCAAGGCTAAGTACCAGAAGCAATATACCGACACCAACAGCCAAAACATTGAAATTAAACAGTCCGAAAGAAGATAACATACGTGTTTGAATATAAAAAATCTCAGTTCTCAGGTAGGCGTGATGGGCTGATTACATTGGAGGGATAATTACAAAAGCAAAGGTGTGCACCGAAGCTAAAGTAAGGAGTACGCTCTGGTCAACGCACTGCTTAAATTGCTTCACGAACGAAGAATTTGTTTGCAACGATTTCACTCAATGACGCCAATCGAACATCCGTGCACATTGCGTGTTAAATATTAACGTTAATGGCCATTACAGCCCTCCTCGGAATGGGTGATAAGCATAAGTTAAGTGCGACAAAATTTGATCAGTGCACGATGAATTGCGCAGAAAACTCGTCTAAATGATGATTTAAGGGTGAGAATTCACGTTTAATTTGATAAACGTTTAGTAAAACTTTAACTCACCGTTTCAACGTATAGCTAACACTTCATATGGCCTGCCATCGCCTACCCTGGCGTGTACATAATGCGTACAGTTACAAACAATACACTTTTTTACCGAGATGTATAAATGCAAGGAATAGAACCATTCATTTGGCAAAGAGATAATCAGCGTTACAGATGGCCGACAAAAAACTCCCACAAACCATCACAAACTTGTGACCTAGGGCTGAAACCAAATAGATACTTTTATACAATCGAGAGATATACTTCTTCCATTGGAATAACATTGCTTTGTTCCATCAATACACTTATTATGACGGAAAACGCGCGGCTTTGTCAGGGAGCCATGACGTGAAGAGGTAAACGTAACAGTTGGCACGACCCACTGTGCACTGATTTATTACTCAGTTCAAAGCCTTCATCATTCTGCAAAGCTGCTCTTATAATGTACCTCGCTGGCTTGACTAAGACGATGAAAGTATAGGGTCTGAATGTCTTTGCAAAGGAATGATACTCTCAACTGTTTTGGGAGATGTACTTATATCCTTAATAGTAAGAGTTAAAAATTTGCTATCCATGAAATCATTAAACCCATGAATCATCTTATTTTCTTTTCAGGTTTGATGAATGCTGCCGATTATTACGGCTTGGATGAGCTACGGCGAACATGTGTGGAGTACATGCACGGCTGTCTTGATCTAAGCACCGTGTGCCTGCTGCTTGCCTCTGCCGAGAAATACATCCAGTACAAGGCCACCAAGACTCTGGTTCAAAGGGTAGGTACCTTAGCCTGAAGGTGAGGTACAATGATAGAACTCGATGGTTTTATGACTAGCACAGAGACGAAGCAACAAACTTAACTAGTCTTCTATCTTTGGTCTGTTCAGGCTCTGGAATTTGTGGACGAACACGGTGAAGATGTTCTTGGTTTTCCAGCCTTCCTGAAACTCCCCCAGCACGTGGTCCGGCTTGTCCTGTCGAGAGATGAACTGCAGGCGGACGAGCTTACCAAATTCCGCGCCGCTCTCGCCTGGAGCACCTTGCACTTTCGCAACACCCCCGGTACCTCCATCAAAGGCGCCATGTCGCCCTTCATAGACACGATAGCGTTCCATCTTATCCCAGCCTCAGATCTCATGCAGGAGGTGAGAGACTCTGGAGTGGTGCCGGACCACAAGATCATGACCGCTCTGGCCTTTCAGGCCGACCCAGGCAGCGTGGATGCTCGGTCGCTCTCCGCGACGCCCAACCGCGTGCGGCTCTCCATGCTGAGTCTCTCCCTTGACGATCGCTCATCAACAGCAGGAGATACACAGAGCGCCGCCGAAACGGAACGAACAGAACTATCAGATGACGAGGCTCCAGAATACAATCGGAGCAACAGTGGATCACTAGCTATGTCGCCGGAGTTTCGGCGACTCAGTACTGTTGACTCAGATGATGGCCAGAGCGGGAATCGAACCGATCAGATGTTGGAAACAGGGTTGGAAGACGCTGGGATAATCCACTCCCATCACTGTGACAATGACCCACACGCGATATGCGAAAATGTTCCAGATAATCACAGCTATCACTTCAAATCAAATCTCGAGCGCCCTCACTCAGCCGACGAACTTTCTACCGCAAACTCGCTGAGCAATTTCGATTCTCTGTCAATGTCAACGAGTTCCGACGTCACTGATAGTAGCAGTGCTGGTGGGAGCTTTGGAAGGGCAGACCAGAAAAGTTCAGTTCACTCCATGGGGACTAAATCACCAATCCCTGGCACTCCTTTCTGAACACATATCTGTTTCCTTGCCCTTTCACAGCTGCACTTACAAGAAGCCCCTACAAAGACTACACAATGTACTTTGTTACCACTAAGCGAATCAACGGACCTAATGCAGAATTCCCTCTCTGAAGTGGCAAGTAGGGGAAATATTTGGGTAAACACTGGAACGAGTTAGGCCTAGTATCCAGCGAGGAGTGGACCCCTCTGGTTTGTAGTCATTCTAATGAAAATTGGTCGTGCCTACTCTGCATCGTCGGTGTACAAACTAGTGCGTGCCCGTTAAGTGAGCTTACGTGAACTGCCAAATACCTTTTTTTTCTGCACGGCATCCATAGTGCAGACTCTAAGAATTGCACGCAGGAGGCTCACGCATTTTATCCAGTCCTTGGTTGTAAAATAAATGTGAATATCGCTTGAGACTAAAAACGTGTAGCGTGACTATAGGCAACAATATCTGAACTGTGTTTATCAGTTACCACAATAGTCGTGTTCAAAATAATAATAATAATAAATACTGTTATTACTGGATATACTGTATCTGTCATTTTACTCTCAGGCACAAATATAAAGAGACACCAAACTCAAACAACTGGCATGGAAGTCAATGTACAAGTTTACTGTTACACCTGTACGCAGATTCACTTCATCCAAAATAGCTCAAAACTTCATAATTCAAGATACCATGCGACACTTTACTGTGTGCTTTGTTAATTGTCGGAAACTCTAGATGTCGATGTCAGTTTTACTAATCGTCACAGGGATAGGTTATGCTACCTACGTGCTGTTATTTTGGTACTTATGCCAATGGCTGTTTATGATGCTGTACTTTTCATGTTCATGTAAAGAGTATATGAACTTCGTTAGCGTACGTATTCCAATTAGCGAAGGTTGCTCACTCTGTTCATTCAATACTGAATGTTTTCTGTACTAAAAGGGAGGACGTGTTAGGCTAACTTGCCAGTGTTTTATTACTTATAGCATTTCCTGTTGTTGAAGTCAACATAAAATGTACATGTCGTAAGTTTACGTGTTACCACTTTTGTATGTGTCATAAAAAAGTAATTAGATCAGTTTTTAGATAAAACGGTTGGACAGTTTATGCTGGCTGGGAACAGTACACTGCCACTGGAAATTGTCAAAGGAAAAGGCTTCTAAATTGTCGATTGTGCATTTTGCCAAATGACTACAGGCCGTTTTGTAGCATACTACCCATCCTCACAAATTAGCGTCAACGCGGGGCTTAAGGTCTATGGTGATTTGCATATTTCAGGCCGACGTTTTGAAGGTGCTACACCGAGCCCAATGAGCAAATGGAAAACAAAGAGGCTGTACGTACGTTGGAGTTACTGCTTTGGTGTGTAAAAACTAATGAGAATGGCATCGACGACCAACTACCTTACTCCGTGCCTGGGGAGTAAAAACAAAATGGAAGCACTTAAGCATATGTCCATTTTGTTTGAGAACAAGACTGCTAGGGTAAAGATTTACTGGTGAGGAACTAGGTTCAGCACCACGCTTTTATTTCAACTGAAAGATTGTTTGAACGAAAATAAAATGTACATAAATGTATAATCTCTGCTACTTTATCAGAATTTGTCATTGTAAGTCCCTGTAGTGTCCAGTAGTGTAGACCTATACATCATTCTAGTTGGACTGATAATATCACCACTCACACAATATCAAATTAAGGCTTAGGCCTATGTTCAGTTTTCTGGTCTACGTGTTCCGTCTGTGTTAACTGACAGTATTGCTTGTGCATAAGGGTGTAAATTAACTGCTTCAAAATAAGACATCGTTCTCAATTTAAGTGAAACATTTCCAAACGTGTAGTGAATAGATTAAGAATTCGTGTTGAAATTTTTTGTGTGCATCTAAAAAGATAAAGAAAATGCTCTGGGAAAAAAACGCGAACGTCTTTTCTGCAAAACTGTCCGTAGTTGCTATACACAGGATGGAGAGGATCAATAGGCTATAAAAAGTAAGTTGCAGTCGACTTAAGTCTTAGCTGAGACTTTTTCAGAAAACTGTAGAATATTATAGATTCCTTATTCAAAAATCATGAGAGCTGCATACATCGGACAAAGCAAAGCTCAAATCAATATTCAGTTAAAATCTCTCAAATTTGCATCCATGTGTTTACATTACGTTCTATACACTGTTTTGCAAATGATTTGTGGATATTAAAATCAGACATGCAATTAACAATGGTGCACAATCGTAGTTTTGTCCAAGAATCCAAGAACTCTTCCAATTCAATCAGCTGCACAGGTATAGTTCAAATATGCGGTGTACACATGTTGCAGAATCTGTTGGTGGTGAACAGACGGAAAGCAGAGGAATCGATGGCGAACTTTGTCAAGGCGAAATTCTGACATTAGATATGACTGCTCATACACGCAAATCCTTGGTGCAGGATGAACGCACAGTTATAATGTCTTGAGATCCATCATGTTCGTTCGTACAATGATTAAGATTACGTACACTATGCAAGTTATAGAGTTCACGGTTAACTTAGAGAAAGACATCGCACAATCTTTACACGACCAAAGGCAACTGAGAATCGGCAAACTGTCTGCTTCGGTAAAGCTCTTGAAGTTGATCTGCATGGCAACCGGTGAGATCTGCATGGCAACCGGTTACCATGGACACAGAGGAAACAGTGACAACTGGATCAATCGTATTCGATGTTTTGCAGAACATGAAAGCACACAGGGCCTTGGTTCCCTCCTTGTAGTCGGGCAACCGCCACCAGTAGATGAAGGGGTTTACTACAGAAGTGATAAGGCCCACACAAAGACAAGCGTAGAAAGGCACATTTGCCACGAAACAAGCGTTCTTGCTTCCGAAACTGAGAGACTGTACCATGACGATGACTACCATCGGAAGCCAACACAGCGGGAACAGACCTACGATAAGAGCAAACAGCGTTGACAGGCGGCGAGACTGGTGATCAGGTGCCAAAGGAAGATTGGCCGAGATCTGTCGTCGTTTGCGGACTGTGTAGAAGATAGCGGTGTAAAGAGCTATCGTGAGGCAAAGTTCCAACAGGACAACGCAAGGGGCCACGATGAAAAAGACTCTGTAAAACATGACCAGATCGAAAGACAGAGGGATGGTAACCATGACGGGGATGATCCAACAGCACAAGCTGATCGCAATGCATCGTTTGTAGCTGAACATCTCCTTGTAGCGGAACGGGGACAGGACCACCGCCACGAAACGCTCCAGGGCCACGGACGTCACGCACACAGTCGACACGAGAAGGAAGACGCTGCTGACGACGTCCACGCGCGATGAGCCCAGTTGGAGCGTGATGGGAAAACACACGCCGATGCAGAGGTCGGCCAGGGACAAGTTGCAAACGAAGATGTTTATCCGCCGGCGTATCTTACGCTTGAAGGTATTGAAGAGGGAAGTAGTTATAACTAGAGAGTTCCCAATAAAGGAAAGGATACCCATGATGTAGGTGACAGCGAGGATAGTGCGTTGAGCTGCAATATCCGGGTGTCCGTTCTCGTCTGCTATGTCGTACAGGTTCGGTAGGGAACAATTGTGGGAATTCATAGTCATAAAATACATCCGCAATGGACGAGCCTACTGTTTAAAACCCTACCACTTCCAATTTGGATTATTTCGACGTTGGTAAGATCTGAAGCGGCATGGTTTGTACAGTTTTGATCGTCAGTTTTATTAACAAGAAGGGTAAAATTATTCTGTACTTCTACTTGTGCACACATGAACGAGGCGTTCTTCCTGTGCGTGATGCCAGCTATATATTCCAAAGTTACCAGTCTCCCAGCCACAAGTATGATATAGGTGTTGTTACACCTACAATCGCCCTTTACTGGTATTTTCAACTAGTAATTGCCAGTTATTCATAAACGTAACCAGAGCAAAGATTGTGAGTGCGGTAAGTTTATGGCTGCCAATGCCCGGCTCGCTCGTGTTCTCGTACGGAATTCATTTCATGGTATATGCACGCTATTACGGTCACTGTCACTCTCTGGCGCCTTCTGGGATGAGTCGGTTGAGGGGCTTGTGGTAGCTTCTCTATATATCCAGTTCTACAACCGGGTCAGGAAACTGCCGGCGTTGCAAGTACTCCCATTGGGTCTAAGCGACACTGTGGCAACATCACATCACGGGTATTTAATTAGACAGGACGCAATCTGGGCAAGCATTCATGGGTCGCTTGGAAGACGCTCGGTGGAGAAGGAACTCATCGGTGGTTGCCGCCTTTTGTGCGCCCGCATAGTCAATGCTAATGGACGGCCAAGTGTTGCTGTGCACGCAACGGTGACGAATAGGTTCGAGGGTAAATAATAACTGTCCATGGACCTACACACCTTGGACACGATCTTTAAAGAAAACAAGATTCGCGCATAGGAGAAGAAATCCCATACCAGTCGCTTTATTGACACCAGAGTTGATAAGATCCGGATGATTGATGCTGGTCCAGATTGATACATGTACGTGGATTGCAATGCATTCATGTAGTTAAATGCAAGTATTTCATGAGACAAATATTTGAGATTTCAAACTACACCTTCTTTGAACCTTGCTTCCGGACAATTCATTTCAATTAACGGCGGACTGCTGTACTAATGTGGCAATATAAATAATGCTCTGTATTAAAATATTGGTTAGGCCTATGTGCGAAAGGCTAAAGAGTATCCACACCCACTTAGAGTTAATTATTAATCCCGCAGGTGAATAAACCCCTCAAGTTGATAAAATTGATAAAAATACACACTGGATAAAAAATGCCACCCTCATATTTACCTAATACATATGAGAAACCTGTCAAGTTGTTTTTGTAATTACAATCATGCCCAAATGCATTCAGAAATATAATACCCTAGACTTCATTTCAGCAAACGCTCAAATGAAACATCAGAATTTAGAATCAAATTAAAGTCCAATTCAGACAGAACGGCATAGTTCTTGTAGGTCCCCCATCAGCACCATTATTCCAAACTGAGAGTGGGACTTTAAGCCTTGCTTACATGCCTTCGCGTTCATTGCTGACCCGACTGAACGAAAGGGAAGATTGTGAAGCAGTATGCCAATTAAAAAATCGCCCTTCACCATGAAGCCTAAGTCTACCAGGCCCATTTTCCGATGTAAAAACTAAAGGTGTTCATAGAAGACGGCAATATGGTGCCACAACTTGTACATCCCTCTCATAGGTTTTGGTCTTAAACATCCTACAACAATAGGTCTGAGCTCACGGTTTCCAGGCAGCTTGAGTACCTCTCGCAATTTTATGAGGGTGGCATTTCAATTTAATTTAAAACGCCAACACTTGAGCAAATATTATGAAAGTTGAGCACAGTCGACAACAGTCAAGTGTTAAGGGCGAAAGGAAAGGATGTGCCCATAAACAGGATAATATATTGACAGCACTGTAGCCTAGCACACAAAGCACAAGGTCAAATCAAGGCAACAATAAATATCTCTCTGCTCATGATGCTAATAAAGTACTAGGCCTAGGCTACGTCATAAATTAATTAATGCAATATGCACGTGACAACAAGACACAAGTTACCAGGAATGTGCCAATATATAGGCCCAGGCCTTATGTCTATAGAGTAAGTCTACAGGCAACTTAGGTTTTCATTGGTACGCGGCACATGTTAACGATGGCCATAGCTGCATGGAGACGGTTTGAAGTGGCCCCCTTTGGCCGTTGTTTTGCTTGCATTACCCCAATGTTATCATCATCAGGCTTACCATAGACGAGGACATCACATCAGTCTCGGGTGTATGGATCACGATACAATACAGGACGTGTCGCACTCGCTGCACCAATGCGTTAGTTTGTCTCATGAAAAACGTTAGCCATGTTGAAGGCTTGAACATTTTAAAAGCAATTTAGCATGATTCCCCTTCAGCGAATCCTGTGAGCCTTACCCTGGGACAGTACAGTTGGTGAGTAGGTGACTAAAGCAATGAGGGACGACATTGACTTAGGCCCGATATACCTATCATTAAGTACACGACAATGGCGTTGCCACAGGTGCTATGCAATGCTTGAACATGACCAAGATGACATCGTCAAGTGTGAGACATCTTCCAAGCTCACGCCAATTTTCGGAAATAAATACATCTAACCTAAGTGGAAGAAATGCATACCTCTCCCTATGGACTCTCCTTTCGTGTCCCTGTTTGTCCCTCATTCTGACAGCTTCGAATATCTTCCATCGTGTCCTAATTCTGCTCATGGCCTGCTTTCAGAACACCATTTTTTGCACGTTGATTTTCTTCCGTTGCTATGAACAGCGTCCTCTAGTGCCACAAGTTAACGGACTCGCGATGCACACGTTCAGCGCACCATTCTGCGGCGCGTGCGTTGAGCTCCTTCACACAGAACAAAAACAGAGGGGTGACAAATAGGAAGACTGAAATGGTTGCCTTCTGAGCTTTCCAGGAAACTTATCTCGGTGAATGTGAGAGAACAAGATGAAAAATCCAAGAAACTCTCAATATGCAGTGACCCGCTTGTGGCTTCCTCTAGACTTGGCCTGCACAACAGTTAAAATACCACACACCTGGTCCAAAGACAAACAAATCGAGGGAAAATTGCAATCTAATTTCATATGACACAGTAACACTAGCTAATTTCCCATTATCGGAAAAAAATAGAAAAAAAAATGGAATCATTATTCTGAAAAGGGAATTAACACTGAATGAGACATGAACAAAATCAACTCTGATTTGATTTCCGGCTATGTAAATTAGAACGCCATAAAAAAGCTTAAAACTTTTTTATTTAAATATACTGATTTCTTATTAAGTAAATGACAGCCTATGGAAGAACTATTGACGTTATACAAAATATGCAAATGTATGTATGCAAAATACTCATGATATACGTAAAAGGTTGAGATAAATTTGGCCACTTTCACTGCAAAGACTATTGAATTCAACTATGGATAACTTGGGCCTACCGAGTTAAGTCCTATGAAGGGGACTTCAGGCAATAATTGGCGGAAGCCAATAAAGAATTCTTTTCCCATGAAATGTTTGGATCAGTTTGAACAAGTGCACATAAGAGGAAAGATGGCCAAGGAAAAAACAGTTGTGTTTGCTGCCATCAAGGGTCTGAAAAGTCTCTGGACCTTACATACATACTCCTCATTTCCAAGAGGCGAGGCTTAACTGTTGATGGGGAGGCATAAAACATACATTTACACGGTCTTATACAGGTACATTTAGGTTGCAAAAGTGAACTTTTAGGTTGAAAAAAGTGAAATTATTTTTTTGACTGCAAGTAAAATACATGTAACTAATAATGCATAACCCACTTTAATGAAGGCAAATTTGCAAAACATAGTCTAGAAATAACTAATCATGCAAGTTGGGTGAACGAAACTTTTTAGCTCAATTTTTGTTAACAATTTATACATCTTCGTGGCACTAGACTTGAACCTGTATGTCTATCTCAAACAACTCTGATCAACAATATTCCTTGTGACAACTGTGTGTACAGGCGATACAGTACACCGGCTTGACAAGATTACCTCATACATTGTCTATCAATAACATTACAGGGAAATTTAAAGCTTAGCCAATTCCATCTTTCTCTAAGCTCAATTTTCTCAGGTTTTTATCCTGTGAAAGCCCCCATCAATTTTCATGATTTGTCAAACTCAACAAATGGAAAAATTTGTCACAAATAGAGGTATACCCGAGGGCTGTGGAAATCATGTCGGAGTGCTCACCCCTACCTTACAACTTGGGAAGCCTGGAAAAGTGTGTGTGTGGGGAGGGGAGGCTGCTGATGAAAGCTGCATTTCTATTGGAAGAAAGCCTACTTCCTGGTAAGTGATTGTGACAGCCAATCAAGTCCATTGTACAATCCATCTCCACTCGTAGCACAGGTTGCCTGGATGAACCATTGGCGGCCGCGTAGTCCTTGCAAGTTCAACTTGTCGGTGATCTCTTGGGCAGTCATGGCATTGGGAAGATCCTAGAGAACAGAGTGGGGATTGTGAAATTGGTAGTTAATGTAGAGTCGTGCGTGTGGAGAAAAAGAGTAAAATATGCAGCAGGTCAATGAAAACTGCGAAACTGCATTGAATAAATTATGACAAATTTTGGGGTGCTCAGTTCAATCCAGGAGGATGTGGAAACTGCACACGTCCACACCAAGAACAGGCAAAATTTCGGCAACTTCCCAGCCCATAAAAGTGTGTCAAAAAAAAGCCTCGCATGTGCACAGGTGGAATTTGAACATCAACCAGCAAATGAAAGAACCTGTTTGTTGGCAAAGATCAGGACATGTGCATTTCGTAGCTCATCTTCGTTCAGCATCGTGGTGAGTTCGTCGCGCACCTCTCCAATTCTCTCTCTATCATTGCTGTCCACAACAAAAATCAAACCTGCAATGAAAAAGTAACCACGGTGTCTGAGGATCTGGTTACGGACAAAAGTAAACTAACCTGTGCAATGGAATCAAAGGCAAAAATCAAACATGTTGGTAAGGCGAAAGGTATGCCGGAGATGATGGTTGGCTTGGGGATTGCATTAGGGCGACAGTAGATACTGGGTGGGCTTAAAGTGGTCTTAGCAAGCTGGTATCTCCTGGTATGTGTGCGTGTGTGTGAGTGGGGGGATCAACAGGCCAAGTAGGTCCATACAGTGGCGTAGCCAAGGGGGGGGGGTAGGGGCACGTACCCCCCACAAATTCCCAGTGCCCCCCAGCTGACCCCCCACTGAAAAAAAGGAGGAATGGATACTGACCAAGGCTAACCAAAGCCTGCCCCCCAAAAAACACACCACTGAAAGCTGGTGCCCCCCCCCCAGTGAAATCCTATTTACGCCAATGGGTCCATATAACAGTAACAGTACACTACCCCACCTTGTGTGTTCAGGAAGTAATGTCGCCATAGAGGCCTGATTTTGTCCTGACCACCAACGTCCCACACTGTGAAGCTGATGTTCTTGTATTCAACTGTTTCTACGTTGAATCCTGTGGGATTAAGATGGAGTTTTAAGTTCAGCACAGAGGTTCCATCTTAATAAGGAGGAAACAATTTTCAGTTTGGACTACAGTGACTCAGAGGGCTCTTTGGCATATTGGGAGATTTCAAGATGGCAACTACATCTCATATGAACACATGCAAAAGAGGGAATTTACCGACGCAAATATGCTAGCTAAGACTTTTACAAGAACTCTAAATGAATACGATTCTGCTATGTACATGAACTTTGGAAGTTGAATCACATCTGCTTTCCAAACACAAACTTTCAGCTGCAGAGAGTGTAACACTCTCAACTTCTTAACTTTTCATGAGATGTTTCTAGTAGTGCTGAATTATGAGTCTCAGTAACCAAACTCGCACCAATTGTCCTGGCCCAAGTGCACGGACAATTCAGACTTGAAAGAAGTGTTTGACAAACAACAGTTGGTCAAGAATACAGGTTTCTTTTATTCTAAAAACTTCGCCTCATGCAAAGCTCCTCACTGTCAAACAGGGAGCTGTTGAGGAAACTCCTCCTGTTTGCTGACAAGTATTTCACCGCAGCAAAATACTTCACAAATCAAGTATTTTCTCAACACAAAAACACGTCACAGGCTTAAAGCATCGAAACTGGTCTCATCAGACTTTAGCTCTCTGCTCGCAAAGTTCCAACTTGATTTCTCAACACACTTACAGGGTTTTATACTCTTCAAATCCACTATATTAACATAGTTACTGAATATAAGTCATAAGTAAATTATGCAGTAAGGTTACATCACCCTGCTCTAAATTGATGACTAATTCCATTGACCAATCAGAATTAAACCAATGATGTAAACCCATGACTAATATCAATTTCTTATACAGTTCCGTCCCTTCATTTCAAACAAATATTCCAATGAAAAAAGGGCAAGTTGTGGGTGCACTGGCCTTAGCCCCCACATTCCAAGTAACTAGCCAATTTTTATCAATGCGTCAACCGGCCTTGGTGAAAATCTGGTGTTTGACTCATTGACCACTACACTTTTCTGGGAACTTAAAGGTGCATCCTGTATCCCACCTGTTCACAAAATCTCAACATTGTTACAGAGATTTAAACAGCAGATATGGTACATGTAGCTAGTCATTTTTTTTGCGAGTTCAAGAGAAGTCACAAGCCATCTTTGCAAGGCCAAGCCAAGTCACAAGTGAAAGCTGGTAGCTACAAGTCCCAAAGGCAGAGACTCGAGTCCAAGTTGCAATGACTCGAGTCAACAACTCGGGTAAACTGTGGCCCAATCAAGACTGCCGACTCACCAATTGTGGGTATGGTGGTGACGATCTCTCCGAGCTTGAGTTTGTACAGGATGGTGGTTTTGCCTGCAGCATCCAGCCCAACCACAGGATTCTTATCTCCTTCTTGCTGAAGAGGCCCTTGAATAAACTGGCAAAGGCTCCCATCTTGTATTAACTTGATCAGAGGAGCCAAGCAAATCCAAGTATTCAACAATGATCTACGATTTTACAACAGAGGCTTGGATCAAGTTACATGGGATGCAAAGTGAAAAGTGAATGTGAGTTTGTATGATTCAGACGCATCAGCAAGAATCAGACTACTGATAACAAACATGTACATGTATATGGTAAAAACAAAAGGAACATTTACATCAATGTACAGAGCAAAACTTCTGGACCCTACATGGATTTCTACATACATGTACATGTATTAGAAATCCCTGTTCTACATTTATGGGCATCTTTTAATGACTGTTGTGATAAGGTAAATAATGGAAGATGAGATGTCTAATATGGGACATTTGTCAGTTAACAAGGCCTGAATGTGGAGAAAAGGTAAGTGGATGCCATGGTCATATTTCAGGATAAAAACAGATGAAAAAAGAAGGAGATTTGCCGTCTTGGATGACAAATTAAGCAAGGTAACTTAATGCAATTAGAGATATGTGTACTTGGTTATCCAAGGCAATTTTCATTCAATAAAACCAGACAAATCTGAATTTAAAATAAACACAAGACGGGGGCTCTCTATTTGTTCGATCTCATCTGCAAATTGGAGGTTTATTCACACAGTTTGCAATACTATGCTAATTGTACATGTACATAACTGAAAATACAGACACCAATAACAATACATTAAAAGAAACCTGCTTGGAAATCATTTCACATTTTTCATCAGTACAGAGAAAGCGTACTGTCGTCTTCCCAACACAAGATTAAACCTTACGATGTGGTTTGTCTAGCTTACAATAACTGACCTTTGTGTCCAGGTCTTGCCAACCATAAAGTGCACTTTAATCAGTTACAACAAACCGCAGATCGGCTGGCGTGCTGCTGTATTATTGGGATCTCCACTTCTCTGACGTGAAATAACTTCTGCACAGTTAACATGAACACTAAAGAAAAATCACAACAGCAGGTCCAAATCTATAAAGATCAAGTACATGTACAAAGATGTGTAGAACAGTGTAGTGCATGCCGCATCTCTCAAAAAAGGAACTTTTGCCTTTTTTCACTGCCGTGGTAATGCAAGGAAGAAAGCAACCAGGATTTCTTGGCAAAAGTTCACAGGGGCATATCAGGTTTAACTAGTTCCTTTAAATATAACGGACCTCACACAATATGATACCACTGAATTCAGTCCGCTTAAAAATTCGTGCAAATTTTCCCCAGTGGTTTTTTTGACATGTCGCAACTGCAGTACTTCCTGGTCCCATGCTTTCCAAAATTTCCTCTCCAAATACTTCAGACACTGCCAAAACTAAACTGGGAGAAAAATTGAGGCTGCTATACTCACCGGCAACGGAGTTGGAAAATATACATGCACACTTTAGAAAGATCACAAGATTGTAAGAATTTGCACATTTGACAAAACGGCCTGTATTTTATAGAATCAGTTATTACAATGAATTGCCTGTTACAATAGAGGATACTACGCTTATTGGTTAAATGATTTCCGGTTAGAATGAAACTGCTACATTTCTACATATTACAGGCGATTGCGTGGTTAAGATAAGCCATGTGAGACAGTGCAAAGTGGCAAACACGATGTGGGCAAAGTCCACATTCAATGCCAGTCCTCAGAAAAAAAAATACACCAACGAAAGTTGAAACACCTCTACACTGTTTACCAACCCTCGAGGTTTTTCCTGCTTACTACAAATGCTTTTTAACTGGTTCTTCAGATCACACGTGCTTGCTTTTTAAAGTTGGGCCATTTGTTCCAAAAAACACTGCGACCACTGGTAGTTTGTACATATATATATTACTGTATTCCATTATAAAAATCAGAGTACATGACTCTGCTCTTTTTTCTCCGAGGAATTTTGTTGACTCACAAGTCTCGAATAACTACTACATACAGAAGAGTCAACTGAAAAGTTGAAACCAGAATGTCTTGTCAGAGGACCAAATACCAAATGGAACAGCGGGGACTGGTTTGAAGTCACTGCATACAAATGCGTGATATTCCGAAGTTCCGTTTATTTTTTTTAGGGCAATCACAAAGTTATGAACATCCCAACTGCAGATCAACTCTTTCATGTGTAACAAAATACTTTTCCCACGAGCAAGGATTGGTGTCCCAACCTCTTTTAGTTTCTGTATGGTCCCTGTTTACAGGCAATGCATGACCTCTGGCACTGCACGGACAACATGCACGTGCCATCGGACAGTGCGAGTTGCAGCATACGTGGCAACCCCACTGCAACAACTCATGGATTGTGTCCCTGTTGTCATGGAAGATGTCAGTGTCCCACACTGACGTCACTATCTTGGGACGTCAGCTATCAGCATCCTCTTAATGGCACGATGTAGCCGGGTACGCTCTCAAAATGTAAAGAAACAAAGGTCAAGCAATGGATTCCAGGGAAGGACTACAAAGCTTTGAATCTGATATGACTGGGGAGTTTGTGCATCCTACTAACCCAAAGAGCTCTAGTTGAGTCAGCCTTGTTTCTTTTTAAAGACATAATTAATACAGTATTAAATTTTTCATAGATCACTAAGCTTTAGATATACCCACAACCATTACAGGTGCGTTTATATATACTAAAACAACTTTTTGTTAAAGAAAATGACTGCTTAACATGGGTACGACATACAGGTGGCAGCGGAACACTGTGCTTCTTATCCAGACGCTTGAGTGATTGAGGCCTGCTCTAGGCATACGTGGACATGTGCATACAAGCATTGGGTCCTTGAAATTGCCCACAGGTCTGAGAGAGATTATCAGAGATCAATTTGCTTTCCTCATTGCTTTGTTCACTGACTTGGGTCATGGGCTGGAGATTGCATGCTGTTTCTGCATGCCTTCTTAAGAAAAAACAAAGATTACAGTGTAATATCTTTACAACTCCTAAATGTTGCAACTATGGATAACATATGTCGATGAAAACTTATTTCCTTAGAAATAGCCATTTCACTTCCTAAACCCATCTCCAACTACCTCACCCACGAAACCCCCCCCCCCTGGAAAAAAGGAAAGAAAAATTTATCAGTGAACCCCCCCAAAAGACAAGAATCCCCACATGAAATGATTTATCTACACACATCAAAACGTCCAGATCAGGCGTGTGCTTATTTTCCCCCTTTTTTGAGTTCTTGTGACAGCCAGTCCAGGCCCTCGTACAGACCATCTCCACTGGTGGCGCACGTGGCCTGGATGTACCAGGAGCGGCTGCGTAGCTTGTGGAGGCCCAGCTTGTCGGTGACCTCTGCCGCGTTCATTGCATTGGGAAGGTCCTAGAAAATAATGGGGGGGGGGAATGAAGTGCAGAATGACCGAGTCAAATCTTTCATTGATTAAAAGTAACGCTTGCACAGGAAGACAAAGCCACAAATCCAGAGCTATCAGTAATGCCCACTATGATCTGGAACAATCATGTGGAGAACTCTACATGAGGGATGCTAAACAAGGTGACGGAACAGTAAGATTTTGTTTTTCAGTGATATAGTAATATTTAGTGATTTTTCCCCAATATTCAAAAGGAATGCACACACAATGTATGTGAATGAACTTTACTTGTAAGACAAACTAGTCAAGCAAGGCTAGATTTATAACGTTCTGAGAAAAATGAGGTATGTCGTTTAATTTGACCCAACGCAACAAACATTCAAGCGAATTTCTGAAACCAAATCTGATAGTTACATTGATGTACATGTACGCAAAATGTGCAACAGAATTTCAACTCCTCAAAAAATTCACATTCATCATCTCTTGAATTTACATACATAAAAGTAACTGGGAAGTAACACAGCATGAACACAGTACCTGCTTGTTTGCAAACACTAGAAGAACTGCATCTCTCAACTCGTCTTCTTGGAGCATTCTGTTCAGCTCTTCTCTAGCCTCATTTGCTCTTTCTCTGTCGTTGCTGTCGACCACAAATATTAACCCTGTAAGAAAAAAAAAAAGGTTACCCTGGACCACAAAAATTAACCCTGTAAGAAAAACAGGTTACCCTGGACTGGCATTTCCAAAAGCTAACAGGAAAAAGGCTTTTAGTAGAAATTGTAGTTTTTAGTACAAATCATACTTTTAGGAGAAACTGTAACTTTTTCTAACCAGTTTCAGAGGGTCTGAGCACAGTGTATCAAGTGATGTCCAGATATTGACCTCCTTACTATACAAGTTATTGATTGTTAAAAAAAAATCTTATTCATTTCTGATACATGACATGAGCAATGTGTTTGGATGCCACTCCAGCAGAAGGGGGAGTGGCAGATGGGTGTGGCTTGGGGGGGAGTGACAGATGGACAAAGTGCCTTGTGGGCAAAGTAGTGGATGGGCGTGGCACAGGGGGAAAGTGACAGAAAGTGGCACCTGGGCAAAGTGGTACATGGGCGTGGCAGAGGGGGAAAGTAACAGATGAGCAAAGGGGTGTGTGGGCGAAGTGTTAGATGGGCGTGGCAGAGGGAGAATTGATTATAGGCACAGTGGCAAATGGGTGAAGTGATTGTAGGCCAAGTGGTCAAAGGAAGCAGTGACTGTAAAACTTTGAACTCTAACCCCCCTAGGCCCTTTTTGCTAGGAACCTTCCTCAATCCTCCAGAATCCTCCAATTAGGAAGTGAACAAAATTGATTCTTCCTCAATCCTCCAAAATTTCTTGAACATGTTACTTGGAGGTGTGCCTACTGCCTCATTCCATCAAAATCCTCCGGCGATTCCAGTCATTATATTGAGGCAGTGCCAATGGCATTCTTGAGCAGTGTGGTTGATTCAAGAGAATATTAAGTTGATTTTATGCATGACTGAGCACGAACAAAACAAGGTCTAACCCACATCCTTTACTCATAATCCTTTGCAATCAGCCATGCACTTTTGCCATTCACCCTCAATCCTCCAAAATCCCCCAAAACCGCCCGAAGGATTTTGGAGGATTGAGGAGGGTTAGGGTTAAGCAGACACGCAGTAATGCACACAACAATTACCAACTCACCTTGTGTGTTCTGGAAGTAGTGTCGCCATAGAGGCCGGATTTTGTCCTGACCACCAACGTCCCAGACTGTGAAGCTGATGTTCTTGTATTCAACTGTTTCTACGTTGAATCCTGTGAAAAGAAATAATGAAGTTTTTCAAACATTAATGAAATACCGCTGGACAGCAAGGCGTAGCTTTGGAAAACATATACATGTAAATTAAGCAATATACAATCACATGTACATTGTTACACATGCAGATAGTTAATATTGCACATCTCACTGGAAATCTGTGATGAACTGTGGTAGTGACTATGTTACGCCCCAACTATAGCGTAGTGTTCCAACTATAGTTGAGACAGTCCCAACTGTAGTGCTGCAGTTGGGCTGGCCCAACTATCGTTGGTCAATCTCTGTGGAGATTTTCTCAACCTTACTCCAAGTTTATGTGAGCTGCATAAACTTGACTGGACAGAATTCATCTAAAATACAACACTTCATAAAAACCCTCATTTCAGCAAGCACGAGTTGCTGATGGAAACAAAATGACTTTGGCGTATGCTTTGGCACATATGGACACACTGTGCTGTGGTTGGGCTAGCCCAACTATAGTTGGGACTGATGCTGTAGTTGGGGCGTAACAAATCTACTATGCCCTGATAACATAAGCGTTCCATCAAATACGTGTTCACAGTCAAATCTAGAGGAACAGAAGTAGCTGATGACATCTACTCACCAATGGTCGGAATGGTTGTGACAATCTCTCCCAGCTTGAGTTTGTACAAAATGGTGGTCTTTCCAGCGGCATCCAGTCCAACCATTAGGATTCTCATCTCCTTCTTGCCAAAAAGGCCCTTAAATAAACTTGCAAATGCTCCCATGGTGACAGCTCCTCTCTTTTAAGAAACAGGTGGCACGTTAAGGACGATCAGTACAGCAGTACACGTGTACAGTGGGTTCGTTGGTTAACTGGGTCCGTGTACTAAATGGTCAATCTTGGACTACCTTTGAAGGGAACGGGGGCAAGGAAAAAAGTAAATAGTTAAATTTGAACATAGTGTTTCCTTTTCTGATAGCTGAAACAGGGTGCAATATTAAGAAGTCGTACAAGTGATCAACTGACATCTAAACTGCTGCCAAAGTTTTGGAAGAGCCCATTGGTACGTGTGGTATCTTATCGCTCAGTTCGTTTATAACATATGTCTTGACATAGAACAGCCGTCGAGACGATGAGGGGTCAAGTGACGTATTGTTCAACGATCTTATTTTAAAGACGGCAACTGAGAGAGCGAGCCCATTAGATTGAATGGATGAAGGCAAAAAAAACCTGGAAATACCTCACTAACGTGAGTGAAATAATTCAATAAATGGTTTTAAGAAAGCGGAAAAGTCAAGAATCATGTTCGTGTGCAAAAGAAATTGCGCCCACGAATCACGGTGATAAGTGGGTGCGCCGAAAATGTTCAATACGCCGACACGAAATTGTGCATACGGATGTGTGGCTAAGGATGGATCCGGAGTGAGAGTCTGTGCCACAGTAGTGGGGCTACGGCTGTACGCACAGTATCATGACGATTTCGAGTTACATCTACGGCGGCCATCTTTCAGTTTCACCATTTCGAAACGAACGAGTTTAATGGGGGCGAAACCACACCACGAAAAATGCATATCATACATGTACATTGCACATGTACAAGAACTGCCGTGGCGAGCTTGGGGCGAAGTGATACGAACCGACGATAATTCGTCAACATTTTCAGGGAAAAACACTCATTCAGAGCACTTACATTCACATTTACCTATATCACGAACTACAGCTATGGTCCCCAGTAGTCAGAGAAACACAGAATATGTCTGTGAGTAAATTTCTGGCCAAAATGCACAGCACGCCAACACCAAATCTTCAACGTGGAAGAAAAAATCGTTGCTCACAAACGGTGCTGCACACGTCATCCAGTGACGTCACGATGTCAAGCCTAGCCAATCACGTGAAGATAAAACGTGCATTATGCATAAAGTCGAGCATCAAGTTGACCGGAAACGTAACGCGACTAGGGCCGTTTTCCAATACTCAACTTCGTCTCCGTCGGAGGCTTCGTTCCCAAAACCTATCCCCGATTTTGGGCCTGAAGCGTTTAAATTACATTGGATTACTGTAATTTTTGGCTTTCTTGCATCTTATTTGATGTTCTGTGGCGCTATTAGACTGATTACTGAGCTTTCAGATTCAAAGTCAGCTAGTAAAAAAAAAAAGTTGAAGCCTTAGACGCAGCCGAAGTCGAGTATTGGAAAACGGCCCCATAGGTCACACCTCTCCACAACTTGATGACTTGCTCGTTTGAACCTTTGAAAATCGTGAAGGCAATATTCCAATGTCCGACAGAAATATTCATGTAATGAAAATGTTTCCTCACTCAAATTGTCTTCGGTTAGATTTCAACTGAAATTCTAAAGCCCAATCCCAGTATCTACAATTTGCCAACAAAAGAAAGCCAACAAACACACGTGGGAAGGGCTTCAGAGCACGGAGGAAGGGCACGTACCTTCCTCCATGATCAGGGGCGTGTTCTTTTTTTAGCTCACTGATAAAAGTCCCATATACCTCATTATGATCTGTTTACCCTCTTTATTCAAGCCAACAACAGAGAAATAACACAAAACAAAAACTTTCATTTTCTGTGTATCATTCATTACTGTATCTATTTCCAAAATGATCTGACAAAGTTGGTCGTAAATACACTGAACAGAAATAAACCTCTTAAAAATGTTCACCAGTTAAATTTGGGCTGTCCCCGAAACTTATCATAAAACCAGTTGTGACACAATATTAAATTTTAATATCGGTGGAAATGGGCAAGGCTGTTCGTATGACAGCATGGAATCACGGGAAACATACAACAAGTTGAGCCCATGAGCATTGCACACAAAATGCCAATCCTGTGAAAAAAAACCACAAAAAATCCACCTTTCATCGGCCCAAATCTACTCTACTTGCAAACGTTCTTAGCTGGATATGCAAACAGTTAAAATCACTTTTTCTTTCCTGTTTATATAGGCTATGGTGTTATTTACTTGTGGTCACTTCCAAACAGAAGACCTGATGACCATGAAACTCCTCTTCCGAAAAAACTCAATGAGACAAACTACAAGAAGGCCTTAGAAATTGAAATTCTCCAAGTTCCACTGGAACATGGGCATATCCCCACTGCTGAGTCCAATGGCACACGAGATCTCTCATGTTCCCAAGTTAAACAATCTGACAACTATTGGTATTGTTGGAGATTTAGACAGTTCCAAAACATTCCTATGTTACTGTCTTACCATACAGATGCAAACCATTTCTTCACTTTTCTGTCACAAGCGCGGGCTTCTTTGGCTTATAATCCAGTACAATTCTTTGCAAGTGCATTCAGCAATGTACAGTTGACAGCGGGATACCAAGTTAAAAGACCTGCCTTCAAGGTACCCTTCACAGGCAATTTGCTCCGTGAGCAGGTCTTCAAGTATTCGACAATGCAATGAGCCAGACAGGATATAAAGCACGAAACATTCTATGCTATCTACTATTTGTACATGTACATAGTTTCTGATTAGGTTACAATGAGTGATACACCTTTATTTATATTGTAGGCACGTGTATGGCTGGATGATGTACAGTCCACAATATGAAGTTGATAACGTCCAAGTACATCTATTTCAAATACTCATAGTTTACAACCACGTATTTTGGGTGCAAGAACGGCAAACAGCTTGATAAAACACACAGGAGGTTTTTGCTACGGCAAGAAATAACACGCATATGTATGGAAGCCACAACTTAGCGGCTTCACACATATAACGTAAATGAATGGGCCGCCTCTGGCTGCAGCCCATTCATTTGGACGTGGCCTTGGCTCTGGTCTTTGCTGGAACTAAGTCTGGTACCGATGACTTACATTATTACGCAATACTCTCTTGGGGGGGGGGCAAAGGCGCTCACAAGCACACCACATTACATTATCAGGGCTACACATTCCAATGGCTTTCACACGTTAGTTACATTAGCCGGAGAAATCTTAATGATCTCCCGTGCAACATTTTGTGACTTTACATGACTTGTTTCAGTACATTTGTAAATATTACAAAGATAATTGCATGGTTGACCTTGCAAAGTGGTAAGTATATGCTTCATTACTGTACAAGTGACTTTCACAAGCAAATTTGCAGGTTTAAAGACAGGAGAAAATCCATCCTTATGTCCTGACGAAATACCAGCATTCAGAGAGAAAGGTTCAAAATGATTGCTTATTTATTCAACAGCCTTTGCTGCATCAAGCTTAACTACACTAAAAATCTTCCCTTCTAACTGCAGAGACATTACAACAAAAACGTAAACTGAAACATGGAACAGAGCAACAACGCGTTATCAAGGTAAAAGAAAGGTGTTACTCTATCTGCCATTTACCTCTTTTACGTACCAGTCAGCGGCAGGTCTTGATTATATTAAGGGTGGCAACAGGCGCAAAAAAGCAAACACATAAATGGAACAATTAATTTACTGTTTCGCCAAAAAAAAAAAAGGAAAGGCACCGAAGTACAAGCAGTAACCCCCAATGTACAACACTGTGAATATTTAATACAAAGATGTTTTTCACAAAAACAATAAAAAAAAAATACATCATACACCCCTTCTCCAAAACAGAAAAATTGACAAAATTATCTCTTTTTACAAAAAGACAAGCGGGGACACAAGCCAGACTGGCCATGAGACTGTACCACCCAAAACCCTCCTCTCATCAATGAACAGAAATTCTGTGTTCTGAATTTGAAGGCCAACCACCCAAATGACGTTACTTGTAAACAAAAGTATCACTGATTCAGTGACTATAAATGAACCCAATCGTGACCCAATTTCCATTTAAGTACACATTACCATGCATTAAAGTGACTTAAAGGTACACGTACCGCCAACCACAGCACTGCTCTAAATCAACAAAGCCTGTATCAACAGAAAAGTTTTAGTGGACACCATCTGATGGACCTGTCACTGCATAACAGATACTATACTGGGGACCTTGCCTTTTCCATGTTCACCCCTTCCCCTACCGTTAAAGACTTTCTTCACAGCTATCTACTCGTGCAGTTTGGTACAAATATAAGTTGGCATGAAACTGGGGAAATATACACTTTATTAAATCTTCTCATTTCTCCCTAAAAACATACGGAAAGAAAACGGTCTTATCCACCTCCAACAAAGGTGTCCCCTATCCTCCCGCTCCCACAAAGGTGTCCCCCTATCCTCCCACTCCCACAAAGGTGTCCCCTATCCTCCCGCTCCCACAAAGGTGTCCCCCTATCCTCCCGCTCCTACAAAGGTGTCCCCTATCCTCCCGCTCCCACAAAGGTGTCCCCTATCCTCCCACTCCTACAAAGGTGTCCCCTATCCTCCCACTCCCACAAAGGTGTCCCCTATCCTCCCACTCCCACAAAGGTGTCCCCCCTATTCTCCTCACCTTTTTTTTTCAACCTATATCTTATTCCCTTTACTTGGAGGTGTTTTTCAAATGAGAAGACAGCCAGTCAAGGCCCTCGTACAGACCGTCTCCACTGGTGGCACACGTTGCCTGGATGAACCACATTCGCCCTCGCAGACTGTGCAGGCCCAGCTTTTCGGTGACTTCAGCTGCGTTCATTGCATTGGGAAGATCCTGAGAGGGTTTGCAAACAAGACCCAGCCCCTTCAACATTGTTTTCGCAAACGGTGAAGGAAGTGCATGTAGGATGTGTACATCCATGGACAAGTTTGATCAAGGACCCCTAGTTAACTAGTGAGTGGTTCGTGACGTACCTAGCATATGTGCAGTGAAGTTGAAGTGCAAACGACCCTAGTCAACTGTTGTCAGGTCATTAGGCCAAAAGGGGGAAAAGGTAGCCGCAGAAAGGGCAAAGTAGCAAAAATAAAAGTGAAAATGGTCGTTCTCTAGCGACGTACTGTTTTTCCGGCATTTTTCTTATCACTGGTCCTCTCTGCACTGTGCTATTCAAATGATTTATGGCAGCCAACGATGTGACTAACCTTGATAGGCTGGTCACAAATAGTTGACTAGACTAGGTCAACTATCGTGCATTCGATCAGAGTTAGTCAAACTATGGTTCAGTATGGTCCTTGATCAAACCTGCCCAATGATTAACATCACTTTCCAAGCAGTGCCCACTTCCAAATATACATTTCCTTGAGTTCACAAGGACAAGTAAATCTTAACAGAGACACCAGAAGTTTGTCCAACTTTCTTCTGTCATAATCCCGACATGAACTGATTGTTTTTCCAAGAGTAAAAAACATGCACTGCACGCGTGTTCAGCAAGACTTCACTTTTTATTTCGAGCAGACACTGGGAATATGGAACATAATATTTGCTGTTAACTGCTTGGAGAAAATAAGAAAATCTTCAAAGTTTGTGTGGCTGATGTTTCAACTGGAGCAGACTTTTCCCCAGAGTGACAGGGGAACAATTACGTGCAAGGAATCACGGAACCACCGCGAGTCTCACGCAGGGTGAGAGGAAGTGGGATAGGAGGACCAGGCAGAAAAACGAGGGAAAGAACAGGATGGTGGGCCATGGGGAGTATGGTGGTGGCTGCGGTGGTGAGCGGATGAAGGAATGTGGAACCCATGGGTGGTGATGGATCCCACCTATGGATATTGGAATGTTGATGGTGATGTACTGATGTTTGGATTTTCCTCCATCAGAAGCCATAGCATTGGACCAAGCAAACCTCGCGATTACCATGGTTACCAGCTGGCACACTGTGCTTAGGTCCCAAAAAGTTCTAATTCTGATTGGATGCCTCTCAAAAAAAGGATCGGTTGGCCAGAAAGATAAGGGGGTACACTTTTTTCATTTATCAATTTTAACTTGATGAAAAATTTTTTCAGGGTTGTGCCAAAAAATTAGTGTCGATCAGGAAAAAGGGAGCAGACTTTTTTCTGGGCCTTATATTTACTAGGAGTCATTTTCAGCAGCAAGAATATCTGACCTGTTTGTTTGCAAACACCAGAAGATGGGATTCCCTCAGTTCGTCTTCATTCAGCATTCTGAAGAGCTCCTCTCTAGCTTCACCTATTCGCTCTCTGTCGTTGCTGTCAACCACAAATATTAAGCCTGCAGAGACAAAGGAGACAACTACTTAATCTCTGTCTAGAGACTGAGGGAGTATGAAAAGAATGTAGGGCTGTGCCAAATATCCAAATAACCCAATATTCGATCGATTAATGTCGAATATTTGAATCTTATTTTTCGAATTTGAATATTTGAACGCGAAATTCATGAAAAGGAAGGAAACATTTTCTTTTGTTTTAAATGAGAAAACTTGCACTATGAAGGCTTGTTTCAAGCAGATTCAAATGAAAAGCGTCAGAAATCTTACAACGATTTAAAAAATAAATTATTCATTAAACAATTTAAAAGCAATAGAAATTTTCAACCGTTCAAGAAGTCTTGTTCATCTCTTCAATTTTGCTATCATGGCTGGAGATGGTCCTAGATGTGAGAAGCTATTATATTGATCATAATGTCAAATTGTGTGTGTTATTGCAACTGATTTTGTATATGGTTTGTTCATCAACAATCTACCGGTCAGTGTAACCGGATATCCGATCAAGTTGAAGGTCAAATATTCGAATAGTGAATTATTCGAATTGACTCAGCACTAAAAGCCTGAAGAACTAAATTACTGTCAACAGTTCAAGATCCTTTATGCTGCAGTGTAATTAAATATAAGGACCAATTCAATGAGGATTTCTATCATCTTTAAGTAGGAGAAAGGCATATGCATAAACAAAAGTATTGGACTCACCTTGTGTGTTCTGGAAGTAGTGTCGCCACAGAGGCCTGATTTTGTCCTGACCACCAACGTCCCAGACTGTGAAGCTGATGTTCTTGTATTCAACTGTTTCTACGTTGAATCCTATAAAAAAGAAAACAAAAACCAAAAACCACATGCTGATGAAAGCACAGAGCTTGACATAAATTCCTTAGTGTTTATCCAATTTTTAGACGGCATGAAATCCTGACAACATTCCCCACTACTTGTACATGACTGAAATTTAACATCATTAACATTCAAAACCACAGCGTCAGCAACACAGACGAATAAATTTACACTACAACTCACCAATTGTCGGAATGGTTGTGACAATCTCTCCCAGCTTGAGTTTGTACAAAATGGTGGTCTTTCCAGCGGCATCCAGTCCAACCATTAGGATTCTCATCTCCTTCTTGCCAAAAAGGTTCTTAAATATACTTGCAAATGCACCCATAGTAACAGTTGTCTCTTTACCAAAAGGGTGGTGCGTAGACGACAAATGGCACAGTGCAGTACAAGCAGGTTACCGGCAAGGTTACATGTACAGCATTTGGTCGTGTGTTATGAATCAGGCTGAACAGCCCAGTGGGTTACCTTTAAGGAGAAGCAAATGTTGGCATGGAAACGAGTTAAAATGCAGAATCCATTTCATAGATTTGGGAGAATTTAAATTTAAATTGAGCTATTGAAACTGGCAGACTGTTTTCTCTTTTTCAGCTCAATTGCAGAATACCCCACCATCCTGCCCAATCAACCTGGTGGCCCCCTCCAAGTGCCACCCCCCCACTGAAAAAAAAAATTGGATGAATGGATATTGAACAAAGCTAACAAAAACTAGCCACCCAAAAAACCACACCATTGAAAGCTGGTGCCCCCCATAAGATGCTGGTGCCCCCTCCCCCACTAGTAAATCCTAGCTATGCCACTGACATGACTGATCTGCCTGGGGAATACAAATATTGAGACATGTAAAGTTGGGGCCTAAAATAGATGGATATGGCCGGATACCAAATCCGAAATACACCCTACCCCCAGACATGCCAGAACTGTGGGGTCCGACGTCCACCCCCCTCCCCGGATAGGAGCGTGGGAGGAGCCGGAGCAGGGCGGACGTTGGACCCTGGCCCCGCAGGGTAAAAATACACCCAACATGCCCAAATTACAACTTGGGCAGTAACCAGTCGATATGGTCGAACCCCATCACTGAAGCCATGCGTTAGCTTATTTTCAGCAGGCTTTTCTGACATTGTTTAATTCTAAAGTTCTCACCGCATGAATGCATACACACTCACCGTGGTTTGATCCGTGCTACTGACCGTAGTCTTTTTTTCTCGATGTCCAACCATCAAATCTTAGTACAACAGCAAAGTGAACCCACCCTCACGTGATTCAGTAATGCCACACGCAGGGACCGGATTCGTACTCACTGCACTAAAAATGGCCGACGTGGAGGAAAAAAAACATGTCGGGTTGCCAAAACTTACTTGGCTACGGCTACCAGTAGTCATGTGCAGGATCAGCGTCCATGTGACATGGATTTGTCACTCCTTAAAAACATGCATGTTTTTTTGGCCGGTTGTGGCTAGCTGGCTATACAGGAGTCACAGTGACGTCAGGATATTTGCATAATTACTTGCAAGACTAGTTGCCACAGCGCCCCGCTGCGACGCACATTTTTCTGTTTTGTTAATAACTATAAATAAAAGTTTTAACAAATGAAAGCAGTTATGCACATCAACATTACGATGTATTTATTACAAAAATAAATTTCTTGATACAATCCCAAAATAATAAGAGCATTTACAAAAATTCCAAACAATTTTTTGATTGCAATTCACCAATACCATTACTGATTTCAAACTAACGTTTGGTTTAAACAATTGGTATACCTCAATAAAATTATAACCTTACAGCTGTTAAATCAGAGCATGTGTGCACATACCAATTACAGCTTTATTCTGTATGAATTAAACATCATAAAAAGCACCTGACATTGGAATTTTAATATTGCTGCATAAATTTACAAACATGCAAATCTCACTTGATAATTTACTTGCCTGTAGGCCATTTGCCTATATTCTGCTTAATCAAAGTTGTTTATACATTTAATCATTCCAATCTTCTATGAACAAAGACATCAAATGACCTCCAAGACAGGATAGTTCTGAACAAGTTCAGGGACTAACTTATAAACCCCCAAAACGGATCATGAGAAACAGAGCAGAAAATTAGCTCACAGACTGATTGTCTTACACTACTAGCAACAGTGAAACTATCAAACAGAAAATCGACCACATTCTCAAATTCTACAAATTTTGAAGACTGCAATTTCTGGCTAAGCTAACACGATATCACGCATATGCTGATAAATATTCAACTTGAAATTAGCATAATATGCCTAAAAATCCCCTGAGCATTATGAAAATTTAAATCAAAGGTATCTACAAAAACTCAAGGAATCAGGACATTGGGATTGCAACAACTGCATAACACAGTCCTATAACAATTGATTAACTTTTAACTTAACTTAAATGTGATTAACGTTTTTAGGGGAACCTGAGAATCAAAATAGATGCAATGAAAGAAAAGTTCATTACAACTCAAATACCGTTTATACTAATAAGTAATTTTACAATTTGTGATTAATTAAATTCAAATGATTGGGGAATTATTACTTAACAGTTAGAATCATCCTTGTTCCCACAGCTTTTGAGCAATGGACCCTCAATTACTCTGAATTTTGAACAGCAGAATGCCACAGACCTAAACCTGGGGAGAAGGTTGAAACCTGATTCGGGCTGCTCAACAACCACATAATCATGGCAGCGATGTCAAAAGATACGACGACATTTGCATGCATTTCACATATTTCAATATGTCAGTTACAAAAAACAAACAGGCTTTAAATAAAAAAAGATTTGAGGAAAATTGGCACCTAGTAAAATCTGTTGTTTTTTCATTTCGCTCGGCTTCAGCTCATGAAATTGAAACGTCCCAATTTTACTTCGTGATGATGTTCCCGCATCCCACAATTAGGTGCTCAATAGTTGTATAATACTAGAGATTCCATTCATGGTTTAGCCTTTTTTGAAATTGAAAGTGAAGTTACCTCTTCATTTTTAGATCTTGGGACTGGATACAGCAATGAAATGAAATTTCACAACAAAGTAGTACCTGTTTACTCTCGTGAATATTTTGGAATTTGTGACCAATCATATATCTTAGCATTTTTAGCCCGATTTTGAATAATTATGTTGAAAGGGAGGAAATCATATAATATGGCCTTATAGTCCACAATTTTCAACCTGGTTTACTGGAATACCATTTACTTCTGCCATGAAATCAATGAGAGACAACAAAGGATTCTGGCCTCTTTGAAATGATTTCAGCGTGAGATCTTTCCAGGCTTTTCAAGCTTCGGATTCATTTTCCGTAAGGCGAAGGACATCCGTCTCAGTTTGGCCGTTCTGGAGGCACACCGTCAACTTCTCCGGGTGGAAGAGGTGACCTCTGTCCTTGAAGGAGAAGACGCAGTAGAAAATGGCCCCGATGCAGATGAAGATGAAGGACAGGATGATGAGATATCCAAAGGTCTCTGGAGCAGGCAGGATGATGACCAGGATGAAATGGAGCATATCCATGGAGCACTCCAAGGAGCGCTGCACCCCGTTGAAGACACCACGCTCATCCTCATGGACGTTCTCCTGGATGAGCTGCGTGGTCACCAGGTCAAACATCCACAGCCCTGAGGAGAGTCATATCACAGCTTGTAAAGATAACTTGACTTTTGCGGCATGTAGAAGGGGTGGTGGACTTTGTCCAATGCAAGGTGCTAACTTTGTGCTTGTTTCCATGGAGTGTGAGGATAAATAATTATGCTGTCCAGTGACAACAGAGGCTTTGCGTGGTAGCCATCTTGCAGGGCAGTTGTTTTGTTCAATGGGGAAACCACCTTTGTGCATACCCTGTGGAACAAAAGCGCTTGCCTGCAAGATAGCAGGCATGGAATCCCTCTATAGTGCAAAGAATGACTGCTGTTCAAAACCTCTTCAGTACCACAACTCAGTCCCAGGCTCGGGCATGTTTGGCTTATGCACACATGCTACAGGTTTATGGACGGTAACAAGATTTAGTAGTTTTACACTCACATTATCGTTGATGTCTAATGTCTGACAGACAGTGAAGGATTTAGACTACCAATTGCCAGGTGTAATGATCAAAATTGAATTCTTTCAATTTGATTTGTCCTTTTTTCCTTTTCATTTCATCTTAAGAGCCAATGATCTTTGCCTTACCTATTCTGGAAGTTACCATTCCTGTGAAGAACAGGACTGCAGACAAGTAGCTTGAAGGCCTGTCCCTACCATCTGGTGTAGCCTGGGGTGTGTTGTCCATCATGACATTCTGTGTAGTGCTGTCCCCTGTGTCATTGCCGATGTTGCCCACAGCACTGACTATTCGCTGATCTCCCATGGCAGGTAAAAATGTGGGTGTGAAAATAAAAGGACTTTGGGTAGTAAAAACATCATCGGTAGGTCCAGCTGTTGGTGGATTGGATTGTCCTGAGAAGTAGTCAGGGTCGAAAGGACTGCCAGCAGCCCAGATGGAGAAGACACAGAGAGTCAGGCAGAGAATTTCTATAGAGAGAGAGTAGAGACCTGTTCGGGTCAGTCCAATCCTCTGCCGGAACCTTGGGAACAAAAACGTGCCCACAATGCCTGCGATGGACCCCAGGCCTCGAATCACGCCCAGCATGACCTCGGACAGACCCACGGAGTAGCCGTAGCCATTGGTGATGGAATCGAACCCCATGACCGTCATGTAGAGGAACGCTAGCCCCAATCCCGCCAGACAGACTTTGTAGGATTTGTAAATCAGCCAGCCCTGGTAGGTAGACACGAACCAGTTGGCCACACGCCGGAATATTCCAAACCTGGATGATGGCTGAGATGATTGCCCCTCAGTGTTAGTAGGTTGTGAATCAGACGATTCGTTCTCCAACCTTCTCCAATCCCCTGTTGCTTCATCAGGTCCTCCAGATTCAAAAGCTGCGAAGTGATGGGAAAAATATTTCAAAGCTGTGCTGACAAATTTGCATGAACCTGTCAAAGCGCAGAGCAAAAGATATCTCCTTAATACTCAGCTTACGCATCCCTTTTGATCTCTTTGGAGGCATTCCAACTTACCTACTTCCATCTGTCCAGCATCACTGACTGTGGCATATGCTATAGGCTTGTCTTCAGATGCATCCTGCCTGCCTTCTTGTGGTTCTTCCAGTGTATGCTCTGTGGAGTACTTGGCCACTCCCTCCTCGTTAGTCTCAATGGAGGCCTCTGATGCAGTGGTCGCACTCTCTGGTTCTTTAGCTGTCTCTGAACGATCAGTGACAACAAAATGGCACATCTTAACGCTGAGATTGGCTGTGGCATTTGAGAGAATGGCTTTAATGAGATTAAACTCCGATGGTAGATTGGAAGAGTGGGCTACAAGGTTCATGCTGATCTCAGGTCAAGGTGGTGAAAGCAAGTAGATTACCACCACCACACTGATCTTTAGGTAATGCTACCCTGCCGTTGTAGCAAAAGTTATTAAAGAGGATGGTAGTAAAAACCATTTTGAAATGAGGGGGTTGCTAGAGGGGTGTGATGGTGGTTAATCGTTTAAACACAAGACAACCAATTCAAGTGACTCAAATTGAAAAGCCAAGTCAAACCAGCAACTCACCTGTTTTATTTTTGCGGAACTTGATGGCAAGTCTAGGGACTCTCCTGTAGACCCGTACCAAGAGGTAGTACTCCAGCATGAGGGAACCAAGGTTCCAGGCCGCAATGAAGATCCCGGCTACCGTCATGGAGGCAAAAGTCATGATTTGTCCCACGAGAATTGGGGCCAGGATATTGACAGTCAAGTCAATACGACGAACAGTAGCATTCATTTCTGTGTGGTTGAAGGATGAGGCGAGGTTGGAGATAGCAACAAAGACGGAAAAGAGAAATAAAAGAACTGTTCACTTTTTTACTTTAACCCCTTGATGATGGGAAATTCTTTGTGAAAGCCGACTCCGAGAATTCCATCTTCGCTTGGCCACGAAGGCCAACTGCCAAATCACAAATTCTCGGTTTGTGGCCCTGCGTGCTCTGCACGCTTTGAATTACACGGTGAAAAGGCTGATTGTTTGGTGGCATGCGGCTCTACTCACCCTTCCACATTCCCGTGGCTTCTTTTCAAGGTGGGGACTATTGTGAAGCTGGTGATTATGATGCAAATTCGGTCTTATCATTTCTGGGCTACGCACAAAGACCAATTACCATACATACAAGAGCCAGGGTCTGCCTTCTTTCACCAGGTTCACTTGAGCGTGGGCCGAGAAAAATAGCTGAAAAGCGGGCTGAGGATCTCAATTTTTACGGCGGCTATAGCCGCTTCCTGGCCCGAAGGGGTTAAGAATTACAAATGAATTACAAATGGAGGTGTTCATTAACCCTCCTTTGGTTTTACAGCACCAATGTGCACAAATGCCCACAG